AACGTCCAAACAGAAAATCTGTTGAAACTACTGGACACACTTTTATTAGTCTGGTCTTTGAAACTGTAGGTTAGAAATCCTTGCCCCTCTGAACTGATTTCATAAGGAGCACGTGGTCACCCCTGGGAAAAGAATGCCAGAAAAACAGAACATTTTCATTATGAAAAGGCACAAAGAGCAAGATGCCTATCTCCCAAATTACAGCCAATGTAACAAAGGTTGAAAAGGGCATTAAACTAATAACAATAATACTGAAAGATGGAGAGAACAAAAACTGCAGGTTTTAATCCCAATAAAACGAGAATGACTGAGCCTTACTTCATAAAGTATATAGCAAACATAAAACTGTGGGTTGTGCACGTGTGCGGGGGTGTGCGCAGGTATAACTTTACTAACCATTGCACCTCTACTAATTACAGGTTAAAGTGTACCTGAATACAGTATTACACTTTGCTGCAGGTGATTACCAAGATAATAGAGCTTTTCAAAAATTGATGATAACATACCATATGCTGGATTTATTGGCTCCTGTCTAAATTGGCCTTAGTATGTGTATGTATGAATGTAAGTTAGGGACCTTGGAGTGTACACCCCTTGAGGTTTAGGGACTGATGTGAATGTACAATATATACAGGTGAAACTCAAAAAATTAGAATATCGTGCAAAAGTTCATTTATTTCAGTAATGAAATTTAAAAGGTGAAACTAATATATGAGACTCATTACATGCAAAGCAAGATAGTTCAAGCTGTGATTTGTCATAATTGTGATGATTATGGCTTAGAGCTCATGAAAACCCCAAATCCACAATCTCAGAAAATTAGAATATTGTGAAAAGGTGCAATATTCTCGGCTCACAGTGTCCCACTCTAATCAGCTAATTAAGCCATAACACCTGCAAAGGGTTCCTGAGCCTTTAAATGGTCTCTCAGTCCGGTTCAGTAGGAATCACAATCATGGGAAAGACTGCTGACCTGACAGTTGTGCAGAAAACCATCATTGACACCCTCCATAAAGAGGGAAAGCCTCAAAAGGTAATTGCAAAAGAAGTTGGATGTTCCCAAAGTGCTGTATCAAAGCACATTAATAGAACGTTATGTGGAAGGGAAAAGTGTGAAGAAAAAGGTGCACAAGCAGCAGGGATGACCGCAGCCTGGAGAGGATTGTCAGGAAAAGGCCATTCAAAAGTGTCGGGGACTTTCACAAGGAGTGGACTGAGGCTGAAGTCAGTGCATCAAGAGCCACCACACACAGACGGATCCTGGACATGGGCTTCAAATGTCATATTCCTCTTGTCAAGCCGCTTTTGAACAACAAACAACATCAGAAGCATCTTGCCTGGGCTAAAGAAAAACAGACCTGGTCTGTTGCTCAGTGGTCCAAAGCCCTCTTTTCTGAGAGCAACTTTTGCATCTCATTTGGAAACCAAGGACCCAGAGTATGGAGGAAGAATGGAGAGGCACACACTGCAAGATGCTTGAAGTCCAGTGTGAAGTTTCCACAGTCTGTGTTGATTTGGGGAGCCATGTCATGTGCTGGTGTTGGTCCACTGTGCTTCATTAAGTCCAGGGTCAACGCAGCCGTCTACCAGGATATTTTGGAGCACTTCATGCTTCCTTCCGCAGACGAGCTTTATGGGGATGCTGACTTCATTTTCCAGCAGGACTTGGCACCTGCCTACACTGCCAAAAGCACCAAAACCTGGTTCAATGACCGTGGGATTACTGTGCTTGATTGGCCAGCAAACTCGCCTGACCTGAACCTCAGAGAATCTATGGGGCATTGCCAAGAGAAAGATGAGAGACATGAGACCGAACAATACAGAAGAGCTGAAGGCCGCTATTGAAGCATCCTGGTCTTCCGTAACACCTCAGCAGTGCCACAGGCTGATAGCTTCCATGCCACGCCGCATTGAGGCAGTAATTGCTGCAAAAGGGGTCCAAACCAAGTACTGAGTACATATGCATGCTTATACTTTTCAGAGGTCCGATATTGTTCTACGTACAATCCTTGTTTTATTGATTGCATGTAATATTCTAATTTTCTGAGATTGTGGATTTGGGGTTTTCATGAGCTGTAAGCCATAATCATCACAATTATGACAAATCAGGGCTTGAACTATCTTGCTTTGCATGTAATGAGTCTATCTCATATATTAGTTTCACCTTTTAAGTTGCATTACTGAAATAAATGAACTTTTGCACGATATTCTAATTTTTCGAGTTTCACCTGTATATGTAAAGTGCTGTGTAAAAAGACAGCACTATCTAAGTACCTGAATCAATAATAATAATATATATTATATGTTACCCATATTATAATGAATATCAATATTTAACTCTTTTATGAAGCTATCAATTAGAGCACGGGTGTCAAACTGGCGGCCCTCCAGCTGTTGCAAATCTACAAGTCCCATGAGGCATTGCAAGATTGACAGTTACAAGCATGACTCCCAAAGGCAGAGGCATGATGGGACTTGTAGTTTTGCAAGAGCTGGAGGGCCACCTGTTTGACACCCCTGAATTAGAGGATCATGTCCTATTTAAAGTGGTTGTAAACCTTAGACATGAAATAGGAAGGAATATACTGTGTACATGTTTAAATTAAGAGCACTAAGGCTAGGTTCACATCTGTGCGGGTGGTGCCACTGCGGATCCTCACGAAAATCCATGCAGCCGCACCACCCGCACAGAGGAATGCGGACCCGCGGGTGAGTGCCATTAGTTCTAATGGCACGGCGCCCGCACTGGAAAACGCAACCGTACTGGGAACCGAGGTTCCCGTGCGGGCTGAGTTTTCGGAAGAAGTGCAGGGACTTCCCTGCGTGTCATGGGGCACGGGAGTCCATTCAAATGAATGGGCTCTCATGCCTGCTCAAAACGCGGCCCACACAGCCACATATATGTGAATCAGGGCTAAGTGTCATTTCTGTCTGCTGCTTTGTTCCACTGCTATGAACATGAATTCCTTCTGACAAGTTTTCTTGACACCAAGAGAAAAATGGTGACGGGAGGGACCTCCAGCAGATTGACAGCCTCAGCTCTCTCCCTGTGTGTTGTGTGGAGGGGGGCAGGACTGTTCCTTCCAATCAGCTCTCAGAGCTCTTCTCTCTGAGCTCTGCAGAGTGTAATTTCAGCTCTCCGCCCCCTTTTCATCATCATTCTAGTGGCCAAAATGCAGTATACCTTCTCGTTAAGGTATTTAAAAAAAATAGAATTTTGGCCACTAGATGAAGTTGCTGATATAGGAAGTTATTAGAAAAACTATAAGTTTCGTTCAGCTTGTATGAATGTGTTTGACATTCGTGCAACAAATGTTTTATAAATAGACTCCTTGGATTTCCATTATATTCACTAGTGCCCTTTCACACCTGAACGTTGCTTGAAAAAGTAGAACTTCTTTTTAGGCAGTTACGTGTTTTGGTTCCAAAAGGCTGAAATGGGAATGCCTGAAAAAAATGTGCTAAACTCAAATTTTTTTGCCTAGTAACTAACTTTCCATTGGCTATAAATAATAGCAAAAATACTCCCAAGCCTGAAAAACTGTACAAACTCTCCAAAAAATATCTAAAAAACACGCAAAGATCCTCTGCTCAAGTATAAATGGAGCCTAGGGCCTCTTGCACACTGCAGCTTGAAAAAGCTCACTACAGCATTTTTTTATTGAGGTAAAATGTAGCCCATTATTTACAATGTGCCTGTGCAGACAAGCGCGTAAACAAGCACCGCGTATTCCTCAACAGAAAAAAAATGCAATTCCTCAATAGGAAAATCTGCAATTTTGATCAGTGATTAATTCATTTTCTCTAAGAATATATTGTGTAGGCGCACATAAATACATGCAAATACGTGCAAAACAAAGGTCTGAAATTACATCCAAAAAAAAGCTGATGATCAAATATCAGTACTGTGTGGAAGAGGCCTAAAGCTGGCCATACACAGCTCACATTTCAAGCTGTTTGTGGCCCTGTCACCACCATCTGGTCAATTTAAAAACTGAAGGATACGGGTGGAAAATTGTTAGTCGAATAGTGACTGTCGCCAATCAGATGCAGTCACAGTTCGGCTGTATAGCCAATAACCAGCAATGTAGAATCCTCCATGGGAGAACCTATTGATTTTCTGTTGTTCAGCCAATGGGCTGGAGGAGAGATATCTAGCCATGCATGACTAGCTTGTGTAGTGGTATAATGCTTGGTCTAAAGCAGGGGTCTCCAAACTTTCTAAATAAAGGGCCAGTTTATTGTATTTCAAACTTTAGTGGGGCTGGACTGTGGCCAGCAGTAGTGGAAATTTTCCTGGCATCAGTGGGAGTAAACATTGCCACGTTTGGCATTAGGGGGAGGAATAGTGCCTTATCATTGGTATCATTGGGGAGAATAGTGCCCCATCATTTGGTATCATTGGGAGGAATAGTGTCCCATCATTGTTATCATTGGAAGGAGTAGTGCTCCACTTTTGGTGTTGTTGGGAGGAATAGTGCCCCATCATTGGTATCATTGGAGGGAATAGTGCCCCATCATTTGTTATCATTGGGAGGAATAGTGTCCCATGTTTGGTGTTGTTGGGAGGAATAGTGCCCCATCATTGTTATCATTGGAAGGAATAGTGCCCCATTTTTGGTGTTGTTGGGAGGACTAGTGCCCCATTTTTGGTGTTGTTGGGAGGAATAGTGCCCCATTTTTGGTGTTGTTGGGAGAAATAGTGCCCCATTATTGGTGTCATTGGGAGGAATAGTGCCCCATTATTGGTGTTAGTGGGAGAAATAGTGCCCCATTGTTGGTATCAGTTGGCAGAATAGTGTGTCGTATAAGTGGGAGCAATAGTGCCCCAAGGGCCAGATAAAGGCAGGCAAAGGGCCACATCCGGCACCAGGGCCACAGTTTGGAGACCACTGGTCTAAAGAAACAATATGAACACTTTGTGATTTGTTACTGAATGTAGCAGATGGAAATCGTTTTGTGGGATAGACTAATTTTATCATGTTTTATCTCCTCATCAGGTGCAGTACTGAAACCAGAACCTACAAGCGCACCAATTCCAGGTAAGAGTAACTCTTTGCTCCTGTTTAACCCCTTCCTTCCCATCCCCGGCATTCCTTTAACCACTTGCCTGACAGAGGATTCTCCCCCCCCCCCCCCCTTCCTGACCAGGCCATTTTTTGTGATACGGCGCTGTGTTACTTTAACTGACAATTGAGCGGTCATGCAACGCTGCACCCAAATAGAGCTCTTTCAGTGGTGTTTGATCACCTCTGCAGTTTTTATTTTTTTGTGCTATAAACAGAAAAAACCCGACAATTCTGAGAAAAAAAAAACAATATTTTTGACTTATTTGCTATTAAACATGTCCAATAAATAATTTAAAAAACCTAATTTCGTCATCCATTTAAGCAAAAATGTATTCTGCTCCATGTCTTTGCTAAACAAAAATCCGAATACATGTAAATTAATTGGTTTACGTGAAAGTTATAGCGTTTACAAATGGCGGAATATATACTGGAATTTTTTTTTTTAATATTAGTAATGGCGGCGATCAGTGACTTATAGCAGGACTGCAGCGGGCATTCTGACACTGGGGGGAACTGACTGTCACTGACATCCCCAGTGACACTAATACCGGGATCAGTGCTAATAAAAAGCACTGACACTGTACTAATGGCACTGGGCAGGAAGGGGTTAACATCTGGGGCGATCAAAGGGGAGAGATCTGTACTGTTTACATACAGACCTCTCCTCTGTCATACTCAGACGAGCACTGGATGTCAGCGGGGAATCACCGGCTGGGACCCATTGATCGACAGCTGAAGCCACTAATGGCGACATGGGTAGGGCGGGCACACGCCCCTTACCTGGAAATGCAAATTCATGTATATATACGTGATTTTGCTCAGCCCTGCTGCCATGTAGTGGTATTTATGCTATAGGGTGGCGGGAAAGCGGTTAAGTGGGTCTTTACACCTGGGGGGGGGGACATCCTGACAATGTGACCACTGTGATTTGGTAGTCCTTCCCACCAGCTCCTGACCATGACTAGACACTGACATGACACATGACTAGAGTGCGCAGTGTGCGTGTTCAGAATAGCAACCTAGGCTATCAATAGATTCACATGTGTGGGCGTGGGTTTTAAAGCCAATGCTCTTTTGCCACTGCACTTATGCATTATGTGGACGGTAGGGGGTTAAAATGAAATAAAATGAAACTGACCCATTGTTAGATGTAGAGACTTCAGAGCCACCAAAAACAGACAGCACATCCACAAGCAGCTTGTTAATATTTCACATTTGGGTCAGTGGATACTTCAAAAGCCTGTACTGGAGTGACAGATCAAGAGCAGACATGGATACAATTTAGGGCTTGTTCACATGATATTGGCATGCCCGGTTTTTTGCGATTACTGCCTTTTATTTCAGTGTGTCCGAAACATGCAAAAAGTATGGCAGGTTCTGTTTTTAAAATCATACTATACAAAACTGTATAGAACTGCGGTACTAGGCATTTTGGTGGCCACAGACGCACCCATGTTTGCTATATATGTGGGGGTGCCATTATAAATGAATGGCACCTACATGCGTCTGCAGACGACAGCGTGTTTCCATGATTTTTTGGTGTGAATGAGTCCCTACAGGGTTGGTTGTTTCACTGACTTTTGTTTATAGCACTGCATCCCTCAAAGAGCAGAAAGTTTTTATTACTCAGATGTCAAGATGAACAATTGTAGAGAGATGTGTATTTGCTCTTTCGATCATTTTGTATAAATTTGTTGTTCTGAACAGTTTTCCTCCCTGTCTGTCAGATTATGAATTGAGCAGTGATGGCTGGCTGGTCCGAGGTGACCGGCAGTATCATGTGAGTAAAGATGAGATGACCATGGACAAGGGACGGGAGTTTTGCAAGAAAAATTTTGGTGACCTGGTTACGATCAATGGAGAAGAAGAAAGGAAATATTTATGGAAATATGTGAGTTTGAAACGTCTGTCTCGTATGTATGAACATTTTTAACACAATACATGCTGACCACATTCAAGCTGGAGCCTTGATTTGAAAATAATTGTTTCAGCCACTGTAGCCTGTAGATGATCTCTGTTTAATACTGTACTGTAATTGTCTAATACAATTATATTATTAAAATCTAGTAAAGAAACTTTATTTAAAACATAATATATATGTATATGTTATATATATAATATATATATTAGAATAGAAAGGAAAATACTTGAATAGAAAAGAATAGAAAAAGGGAAAAAAGTAGAATAGAAAATTAAAGAAAATAATAGAATAGAGTAGAATAGAAAAAAAAAAACTGAATAGAATGAAATAAAATAGAATGAATAAAGCCATCTTCCGAAATTGGAATTTTAAAAGTCAAATTTTGATTTTCGAAATTTTAATTTCAAATCGATGTGAAAATAACGAATATACAAATTAAATATGAGTATATGAAATTAATTCCGAAAATGAATCATTCTAACATAATGAATACGATGAAACAAAATTATAAACGTAACAAACCCAAAACTAAACAAATGTTTCTGTCTTGCACATCTCTAATGAGATCTTTTCACTTGCTGTAAAAGGAGGAGCCCTGGGTCCATGTGAATAAACCTTTCATAAACCTGAAATAATTCTGAGCCTAGAATCACGTTAAAAAAGATCTAAGAGAACTACATGCTGGCCAGAAATGAATACAAAAAATAGTAATATGCAATATTATATTAATCTGAGTATAAATAAGGAAACCAAAATTTTAAATGTTGCTTTGTTCCTGATTATAATAAATTGGATGTAAAATCCACTACATTCCTATTAAATAAAACATTTGGTATTTCTAATACTTTGGAATTTGGAACTTCTAGATCTCAAACTTGCCGATTAGTTTACTTTTCTGGGTGTCCTTCTGTATTCAATATTTTTTACATTAGGTGACCAGTTACTGCTGGAGTTGTACAAAAATGAATTACATCCTAATCCATAATTCCCTCCTCCACTCTTTCCTCTTTAGATTGTAAAGAATGGGAAGGCTGATGGATACTTCATTGGTTTACGTTTACACCTGGATAAACAATTTAAGTAGGTGCTTAGAGCCTAATCCAGTCTTCATTTTTCTGTGTTATGCTATGTTCCTTTCTCTTGGTTGTTCGATGTTTAATGGTGGCTATATGTGTGCTGCATAAGTGATGTAAAACATTTTTGATGGTTGCACATGGAGACTTCTCAGCATATGTAATGCACTCCTATTCTTCTTTTCCTTCTAAGACAGGGGTCACCAAACGTTCTAAGCAAAGAGCCAGTTTACCGTCCTTTAGACTTTAGGGGGCCGGACTGTAGGCAGCAGGAGTAGAAAATGGGCTGGGGCAGACTGACAACTCATGGGGCCCCCGGGCAATAGGGGATCATGGGGCCCCTGTGTCCTTGCCCACACTCAAACCACACCCAAAAAAGCCTATGAAAGGTACCAGGGGCATCTCATGGGGCCCCCTTCTGACCCCGGGCCCTCGGGCAGAGCCCAAGTTCCCAAATGGTCAGTCCGCCCCTGCCCTGGTGTCATTGTGGGGTAGACAGTGTTTTAGACTTGGTGGTCAGTGGGAGTAAATAAATTGAATAGCACCTGTGGTCAGTAGGATGAGGAACAATGCCCCAATATTGGTATTAGTGGGAATAATAATGCTCAATCATTCATATCTGTAGGCGGAAATGTACCTCATCTTGGTTTTTTGTTGGAGGAATAGTGCCCCACTGTTCTTTTCCATGGAAGGAATGGTGTTTCTTCGTTGGTGTCAGAAGGAGGAATAGTTCTACTTATCAGTGGGTGAAAAAGTGCCTCAAGGACCACATGAAGGCAAGCAAAGAGCTGCATATGGCCAAGGAGCCACAGTTTGGAGGGCACTGTTCTAAGAAAATGGGAGGAACTGATAAACCTCAAATGCTCAACACTTACTTCTCAGGAATGGGGAGGAATATGTGCTAGGAGTAGGAGAGATGTGTGTGTGTGGGGGGGATTTGTGATAAAAAGGGGAGGGGGGGATTTAGTTAAAGTGGGAAGATTATATGCTGGGAAGGTTAATTTGTAGGTGTTTTAGCTAGAGCAGGGATATGGTGGCATTTGATCTAGGTGGGGGATGGGGGGGATTTGTACTAGGAGAGGGGGATTGGGGGAGATTTGTGTTCTGAGGGGGGATTGGGGGGAAAATTGTGCTAGGAAGGGGGATTGAGAGGGATTGTGCTAGGAGGGAGGAGGATGGTTTTGTGCTGGGAAGAATAATTTGGAGGGGGGAATTGTGCTAGGAGGAGGGATTCAGGGGAATTTGTGCTAGAAGGCAAAATCTGGGGGAGAAGATTTGTGATGGGGTGGAAAATTTGATTAGGGGATGTGTACTAGGAGGGGTGAAGCAGAACTACAGGTGAAATTCAATTAATTTTTTTTTTTTTGGGGGGGGGGGGGGTGCAAGTAGCTGGTCTTGCCTAGGGCGCCAAATAGTCTAGCACCGACACTGTTCCCAACACACCATATGACCATCTAATGAGAGATGGGTCTATGTGAGTTTTGCTGATTGGCTGCTGAACTTGTATATCGTACTAATTCAGCTGATAGACCCAGCTCTCTCTGAGTTCACCAGACAATCCTAGTACATAACAACCTGTGCATTGTGCTCTTCTCCAACCCAGACGTTTTCAACCAAGGTGCCTTTGGGTTCCTCATTGATGCTCTGGCAAAATACCTAAAAAACTGCCCCAAATTGCCCAAACATTGTGGATCAAGACTGCTTTTTTTGGTACACAAAGCCAAAGGTTTTTATCATGCAGCATTACAACCTTAGGCACTGTGCATGCCAGCCGCTGACACCCTAATAGCTGGTGGTGTCATTGGTTGATAAGCATAGCATCTTGGCTGCACTTCTTCACCAGCATAGGGGTCAGGTTAGCTGAGTGAGGAAGAGAAACTGAGGGTGAAGAGAAATACTGAAATACTAGTCAGTAACAGTGTGCAAAGTATCAGTACCAGTGTGCAAAGGGGTATTTGCTTTGTAAGAATAAATCACCTCTAATGTTGGATGTCCTATATGTATGGATGTCACTACATTGTGTACAACTATTAGTTTTGTTTTTTACATTTTAGAATGGGGTGCCTAGAGTTGTCCATATTTTAAAGCGGAGCTCCACCCAAAAGGGGAAGTTCCGCTTTAAGCCTTTGTCCCCCACTCCCCATTAAGGATTGGCACCTTGGGGGCGGGTACCTGAATTTGACAGGTACCCACTCCCACTTCCGCTGTGATCACCTAGGTGATCGAAACTGGAAGTTGTCCTCTTCCCCTCCCACCTCATAGTCTTCTGGGACACGTGACAGGTCCCAGAAGACTATGGGGCCATTCACAAAGCGCAGCGCTTCTTGCACATGCGCAATGGGCACCCGGCTGTGAAGCCGCAAGCTTTCACAGCCAGGTGCCCTCACTGAAGATGCCAGGAACGGGGAGAGAAGACGGCCGGTGAAACCAGCAGTGGTGAGGACACCACTGGACCGAGGGACAGGTAAGTGCCTGTATTTTAAAAGTCAGCAGCTACAGGGTTTTTTTTTTTTCAAGTGGAACTCCGCTTTAAACAGTGCTTTTTGAGAAACACTGCTCTAACCTATTTAACTGTATTGTTAATATATTTTATCAGCAGCTGTAATTTAACAAATAAAATTAGATTTTTACTAAGCCTTAGGATATTAAATGCATGTCAAGCACGATGTGAATGAATGCGCTGCTCATGCTATGTGTATCCTTTCAATACTCCTTTTTAACACACCGGAACTGCAGATCTCATACACCCATGCAGAACAGTTATGTTTGGAAAGTGAAATGTATGTTTTGTGTTTTTTAGATGGATGGATGGATCTCCTGTGGATTATGTGGCATGGTCGAGTTATGAACCCAACTTTGCTAACAATGATGAGAACTGCGTAGTGATCTATAGAAACCTAGGTACAGTATATCTTGATTGTTATGATAGTAATTGTGATGGTATTGTTTTCAGACAACAAACTATGAAGCCTAAAATGTTGGCCATTTTAGTAGCTATTTTGCTAAAAATGCAGAAAAAAATGGAATAAAAAAGCTCACAATAATATAAACTATACGAACAGATGTAGCAAAAGTTAAGAATCTGTTACTTATATAAAATGTAACACTCCCAGAAATGTCAGTTTCTGCACAGATTTCAGCGAACAATTTCTCAGATTTATATAACATACAGTATATCCCCAAGTGGAAGATATATACATATAATAAGTATGTATATATATAATCCACTTCACTGAATATAAACCGTGCTCAAAATGGTAAATTTATAAGTGAAAAAAAATTATAAATTAATAAGTGAATAAATAAAACTATATATAGCCGCTACTTTCTCCTGTGAACAAAAGATTGTAACCAATAAATAATAAATTGGAAATATCCTCCTGCGCTCAACTGTGTGATCACCTATTATAAATAAGCAAGCTGCTATCACCTAATTCCTTATACCCCAGGATAAACAAATATTAAAACAAAAATTGGTGAAGCGCTAAACAATATATAAATAAATAAGTGCAAAAAGGATCATAAATATCAAATTTTTTGAATCAAATATGAAAACTCCAACCATAAAGTGACACGTGCTAAAAAATTGTAAATATACTGAACCTATAATTGACATATAATGACACGTGCTCAAATATACAAATAAATCAATATAAACTCCTGAGACTGCAACACCTCAAAAATTGTAAAGTGACAATGTGCTCAAAAAACCTAGTGCAAAAACAAGTATCTGGTCTGCAAATAATTGCACACCAGATAAAGTGATATATGAACCACAATAAAATAATATAAAGTGATAAGTGCTTGAATTGAAAATAATCAATAATTGGCAGTAAAATACTAGGTGCAGATAGCAGTAGTGATCAGTCCAATACAATAGTGCTTCAATGATCCGTGTACACTTGCTAGTGCTCTCAGTGACACTCTCATGAAACTTATCATATCATATATAATTAAAAGGAAAAAAAAAATATATAAAAACAAAAATTCCATCAATAAAAGTCCTCTTTAAAATCACTGTGTGGGTTGAATTTTTCAAAATAAATCACCATGTGACTGTAAATAAATAAATATCCATGAGATCATAGATCAGCATCTCAAAGGGAATCAGGGAAGAAACTCCACACGTAGCATAAACCACATGAAGTCATTCTAAACTCCGACAACAACAGATATGGAGAGTAATTTCCAGAGATTGTAGGTCTGGAGTGTTGGAGCCATTCTGGGGAAGTTGCTGTGGAAAGTCAGTTACTGAGGCTATTTTTTTGGAGTGTTGGAACCATTCTGAGAAAAGTCGATGTATATGAGCGATTATCCTGGTCTGGAGAAATATATTTTTAAACCAAAGCAAATTTTTCCACCCATGAGAGTGGGAGGCAAATAAAGTTGGTGAGTGCACACCTAAAGGGGAAGCAGAGCACAATTTTGGATATTTATTTATTTACAGTCATGTGGTGATTTATTTAGAAAAATTCAACCCACACGGTGATTTTAAAGAGGACTTTTTATTGATGGACTTTTTGTTTATAATTTTTTTTTCCTTTTAATTATATATGATTTACAGAGCGCTGCATGTATATTTTGGCCTTTCAAAATATTATTTATTGGTTACAATTTCTCAGATTTACAAAAAAAATGTACACAGCTAAAAAACTGGGTGATTGAGTGCCTTTTTTTTGCTACTAAATACACTAAATATACACTATTAGGATCCATCTTCTCCATCAGTCAGCAGCTAAGGCTCAATTTACACTTGCGGTTGGGGGAAATGCTGAAAATGGGTGGTTGAGACACATTTTTACCTCCCACAACTGCTCCCCCTTAACTGCAAAGCAAGCTGTACTTGGGTTTGCATATGCCTCAACAATATTGATTTGCCACTCGATGCAGCAAGAAAAATCCCCCTTTCCCATTTGGTGGGCACTACCAACCACCCAACACAACCTATTCAACTAAATGGGGCCAAGCTGCAGCTGCCCCAAAACCACAGGTTTTTAGGCATTAAAAATGGCCACTGCAGATCACTCTTCAGAGGGCTACTGCTAGCGTAGACAAACTCTTTGCGTCACACTTCAATAATTATTCACAGAAGGTTTTAGTAGCAGGACAGATATTATAAAACTTAGCCAAATGGATGTGACATAAATCATGAAGTAATATCAATAACAATTTTGCCTTCTTTGCCTCAATGGGGGAGTAGCTGATATACACTGCTCAAAACAATTAAGGAACACTTTGAAAACACATCAGATCTCAATAGGGAAAAATCTCATGCTGGATATCTATACTGATATGGACTAAGTAATGTGTTAGAAATGTAAGGATGCCCCATTGTTTGATGGAAATGAAAATTATAAACCTACAGAGGACTGAATTCAAAGACACTCCAAAAATCAAAGTGAAAAAATTATGCAGCAGGCTAGTCCATTTTTCTGAAATTTCATTGCAGCAACTCAAAATGGTACTCAGTAGTTTGTATGGCCCCCACATGCTTGTATGCATGCCTGAGAACATCGGGACATGCTCCTAATGAGATGATGGATGGTGTCCTGGGGTATTTCCTTCCAGATCTGGACCAGGGCATCACTGAGCTCCTGGACAGTCTGAGGTGCAACCAGGCGGTGTCAGATGGACCGAAACATGTTATCCCAGAGGTGTTCTATTGGATTTAGGTCAGGCAAGCGTGGGGACCATTCAATGGTATCAATTCCTTCATCCTCCAGGAACTGCCTGCCTACTCTCACCACATGAGGTTGGGCATTGTCGTGCACCAGGGGGAACCCAGGACCCACTGCACCAGCATAGGGTCTGACAATGGCTCCAAGGATTTCATCCCGATACCTAATGACAGTCAGGGTGCCATTGTCTAGTCTGTAGAGGTCTGTGCGTCCCTCCATGGATATGTCTCCTTAGACCATCACTGGCCCACCACCAAAATGGTCATGCTGAACGATGTTACAGGCATTGTAACATTCTTCACGGCTTCTCCAGACCCTTTCATGTCTGTCACATGTGCTCAGGGTGAACCTGATCTCATCTGTGAAAAGCACAGAGCGCCAGTGGTGGACCTGCCAATTCTGGTGTTCAATGGAAAATGCCAATCAAGTTCTATGGTGCCGGGCAGTGAGCACAGGGCCCACTAGAGGACATTGACCCAGACAGTCCGGGTTTTGCCACTTGTGCCTGGGTTTCTGTTCACCTGAAACCCAGACACAACAACATACCTTCAGTCATGCAGCCAGTGAGGGAACTCAGTTGGGGTATCGCTACTGGCTTCAACCAAAGTGATTCCTGTCAGCAGTCAGCTGCACCTGTCTGTCCAGTGTCCTCTCCTCTCTGGCTTCTCCTCCGTGGCGGTAGCAACCCCCCCCAGCTGCTGTGCACACATGTGCCCTAGAGCCACTCCACCTCCCAGCTACAACCCCTAACTCCGGCTCCCACACAGTGCTGAATGCTATCTTTGTTTGTAGCAGCTCCACTAGAATCCTTGTCCATCCTGTCCTGTCGGTAAGAGTAAGACATCCAATAGAAGTCATAGAGGGCAGGAGGGAATTGATATAAGGGGGATCTCTCTCTAGTGGAGGTCCGGAAGTGGGTGAACTGATATAAGGGGATTGTAAGCTAATGGGGTTGTGTGAGGTGGGTGCTGATATAAGGGGACTTTGATATAATGGGGGTCTCTAATTGGGGATGCCTTACACCCCCCTCATTAGCTTACAGTCCCCTTATATCATCACCCACCTTACACACTCCCATTAGCTTACAGTCCCCTTATATCATCACCCGCCTTACACCCCCCCATTAGCTTACAGTCCCCTTATATCATAACTTGCCTTACACCCCCCCATTAGCTTACTGTCCCCTTATATCATCACCCACCTTACACACTCCCATTAGCTTACAGTCCCCTTATATCATCACTTGCCTTACACCCCCCATTAGCTTACAGTCCCCTTATATCATCACCCGCCTTACACACCCCCCATTAGCTTACAGTCCCCTTATATCATAACTTGCCTTACACCCCCCCATTAGCTTACAGTCCCCTTATATCAGCACCCGCCTTACACCCCCCCATTAGCTTAAAGTCCCCTTATATCATAACTTGCCTTACACCCCCCCATTAGCTTACAGTCCCCTTATATCAGCACCCGCCTTACACCCCCCCATTAGCTTACAGTCCCCTTATATCATCACCTGCCTTACACCTCCCCATTAGCTTACAGTCCCCTTATATCATCACCCGCCTTACACACCCCCCAATAGCTTACAGTCCCCTTATATCATCACTTGCCTTACACCCCCCCATTAGCTTACAGTCCCCTTATATCATCACTTGCCTTACACCCCCCCCATTAGCTTACAGTCCCCTTATATCATCACTTGCCTTACACCCCCCCATTAGCTTACAGTCCCCTTATATCATCATCCGCCTTAGACCCCCCCCCCCCATTAGCTTACAATCCCCTTATATCATCACCCGCCTTAGACCCCCCCATTAGCTTACAGTCCCCTTATATCATCACCTAACTCATCAATCACAACACTCTGTTAAACAGAATACCACACTGAATTTATCTGACGGCCTCTCTGGTAAGCAGAGAAACACAGCTATGCTTAACCTAACTATACATATCCTAGCACCTGACTAGGTGGGTGCTACACCACAAATATAAAATTAAAGTCAGATTATACAAACATAAAAGAAAATAGGTACACTACCACTAATACATCCAGCTGTGACAGCTTCCTTATCTGCAGACAACTATTTGTTAAAGGATATACAGTCAGGTCCATAAATATTGGGACATCAACACAATTCTAACATTTTTGGCTCTATACACCACCACAATGGATTTGAAATGAAACGAACAAGATGTGCTTTAACTGCAGACTGTCAGCTTTAATTTGAGGGTATTTACATCCAAATCAGGTGAACGGTGTAGGAATTACAACAGTTTGCATACGTGCCTCCCACTTGTTAAGGGACCAAAAGTAATGGGACAATTGACTTCTCAGCTGTTCCATGGCCAGGTGTGTGTTATTCCCTCATTATCCCAATTACAATGAGCAGATAAAAGGTCCAGAGTTCATTTCAAGTGTGCTATTTGCATTTGGAATCTGTTTCTGTCAACTCTCAAGGTGAGATCCAAAGAGCTGTTACTATCAGTGAAGCAAGCCATCATTAGGCTGAAAAAACAAAACAAACCCATCAGAGAGATAGCAAAAACATTAGGTGTGGCCAAAACAACTGTTTGGAACATTCTTAAAAAGAAGGAACGCACCGGTGAGCTCAGCAACACCAAAAGACCCGGAAGACCATGGAAAACAACTGTGGTGGATGACCAAAGAATTCTTTCCCTGGTGAAGAAAACACCATTCACAACCGTTGGCCAGATCAAGAACACTCTCCAGGAGGTAGGTGTATGTGTGTCAAAGTCAACAATCAAGAGAAGACTTCACCAGAGTGAATACAGAGGGCTCACCACAAGATGGAAACCATTGGTGAGCCTCAAAAACAGGAAGGCCAGATTAGAGTTTGCCAAACGACATCTAAAAAAGCCTTCACAGTTCTGGAACAACATCCTATGGACAGATGAGACCGAGATCAACTTGTACCAGAGTGATGGGAAGAGAAGAGTGTGGAGAAGGAAAGGAACTGCTCATGATCCTAAGCATACCACCTCATCAGTGAAGCATGGTGGTGGTAGTGTCATGGCGTGGGCATGTATGGCTGCCAATGGAACTGGTTCTCTTGTATTTATTGATGATGTGACTGCTGACAAAAGCAGCAGGATGAATTGTGAAGTGTTTCGGGCAATATTATCTGTTCATATTCAGCCAAATGCTTCACAACTCATTGGACGCCGCTTCACAGTGCAGATGGACAATGACCCAAAGCATACTGCAAAAGCAACCAAAGAGTTTTTTAAGGGAAAGAAGTGGAATGTTAGGCAATGGCCAAGTCAATCACCTGACCTGAATCCGATTGAGCATGCATTTCACTTGCTGAAGACAAAACTGAAGGGAAAATGCCCCAAGAACAAGCAGAAACTGAAGACAGTTGCAGTAGAGGCCTGGCAGAGCATCACCAGGGATGAAACCCAGCGTCTGGTGATGTCTATGCGTTCCAGACTTCAGGCTGTAATTGACTGCAAAGGATTTGCAACCAAGTATTAAAAAGTAAAAGTTTGATTTATGATTATTATTCTGTCCCATTACTTTTGGTCCCTAACAAGTGGGAGGCACGTATGCAAACTGTTGTAATTCCTACACCGTTCACCTGATTTGGATGTAAATACCCTCAAATTAAAGCTGACAGTCTGCAGTTAAAGCACATCTTGTTCGTTTCATTTCAAATCTATTGTGGTGGTGTATAGAGCCAAAAATGTTAGAATTGTGTCGATGTCCCAATATTTATGGACCTGACTGTATATGCTGGATTTACATATACTTTTCTTATATATTATTGTCATGAATAAAATGAAAAATCTATCTATCTATAGTATCTAAAAAATGTTTCCATCTTCTAAGTAAACATAGCAGTATCAAACACAGAGTTTTTAATGTGTGCTAAATGAGTGTGTATATCAAATTGGAACAAACAAGAAACATTTATTGTTAGGGTTTAAATAAAATGGAAGATTCAGTATTCCAATTCTTGCATGAGCCCAGTTTTGACTAGTTCTCTTTAAGATGGAATTTCAATTTAATGTTTATGTTTAATTGATTCCTTTTAACTTTTTCATGATAGGCTATTGGAATGACATGAACTGCGGCCATCCATACCCATTCATTTGTGAAAGGAAAACCAGTAACATTAATACAACCTTTGCTCCAACAGTCCCACCACCCCAGGGAGGGTGCCTGCCAGAATGGCTGGCATTTGGAAAAAAGGTAATCAGCATGACAAGTTACAATATTTCTATCTTCTCGCAGTGTTTTGGAAACAGGACTTACAGCAGCTGCTGGTGGCTCCATGGGGCTCATTAACAACTCTCAAAGTGTCATTAAAGGATCATTATTGTGAAAAATATTGTGTTCTGATAACTATGTGATAAATACATGTAATGACCGTATCCAATCTAGGATTTTGTTTTTTATTTTCAAATGCCTTGTCAAACATAGGCAAGTGCAGTTATCAGAATACAGTATGTTTTGCTTTGACTATTTCTGGAGCAGAAGTTTTTTTGCAAATTGTTATGGCCACAGGTGTTTTGGCACAAATACCTTATAATGCTTGAAAAAAAAACTAATTTATTGCACCTTATATTGTAACAAGGACTCTAAAGAAGAGTAATAATTACATGTGTAGCACTACCCCCTCAGGGGCTACTGAGTAATTTTCGGACTTCCTGTCTGTTTTGACTCTGCTCTGGAAGCCCAACCCCTGCTGACACCACCTTAAACCTCTGAATCCTCTGGCTGCAACCATAAAGTAGACTCGCACACATTTTAGAGTGAATGGATATTTTGGTTGTATTGAGATCAAATGTAAGCAAAGTAAAGCAAAGCCCCAGTCCTGAGATGTTTCTTCCCCAGTGAGTCAAAAAAACCTACCAAGCAGAGGGGCTAACTCACTTTGGGCTCTCAGTGGCTGGTGGTTGGGTTTAATTCTAGAGGAAGAAGAGCTCTTCAATTAAATAGGCCAATGCCCCTTTAACTGGAGTGTTTGATCTTCTGTGTGCTCAGTGGGGCCCTAGTTGGTGCACACAAGGATCCAAATCTTCCTGGAGGCACAGGTAGAAGTTCCTTAATACAGGGTGACACAAAGGAAGGGAGCTGCCCTTTTAAGTGATATTGGATGTGAATGGTACCCCTTTATTACACACGCAGGGTGAGATGCAAAAATTAGGCAGAGATTTAAAAAATGGGCAAACACACTTCTGTGGGGATTAGGTCTTCTTTGGACCACAGTGGCAAACTGCAGCAATAAAGATGCTCCTTGGCGAATGGGGCAGACTCTAATGGTAACAATAATACAACTTGACCTGCAGAGGGCAGATATTGCAGTAGACTCTTGTGATTGTATATACTGAATGTGTAGTAACTAGTAGGCCAAACAACCTGGGCCTTAACATATGTAACTGGATAAACAATAGTAGTCAAACTGGGTAGAAAGTAACTCAATTTGGTAATGTCATTTGTAACTCAAGTGGCTTGAGTATGGAAGTCTCTCATCCGATCCATGGCCTCAGTCAGGTAGCGGATGGTCTCCTTCTCCAGAGATCACTCCAGACAACTGCACTCCGGTCCACCTGTTCACAGGGCTGTCCCCCAGACTTGTCAGTGGTCTCACAGTTAGCAATTTTTCCTTTCTCCTTCACTATCTGCGGGGTCCCACTCAGCCTTCATCTCACTCCTGCTCTCCATGTCTCTCTCCCTCCCTTTCCTCGGGTTCCCAAGCTTCTGTATTTATTTGCCCCCACCCCTCCACCAGCACCTCTGGGAAATGTAGTTTGGTAGCTCACTATCAGACAGTGAAGTCCTGCAATCAGCCTACGAATCCCACACAGCTTTTCAACAGTCTGTATAACTGGGCTGCAAGACACTGTCATCTTGTGTCCATTTAAAATCCTGCAACCAGTATTATGGCAGGGTGGTACTGGATGAATAAAGTTATCAAAATAGTAGAAAAACTAGATTGTGACGTCCCTTCTTTGTAGGTCCATATTGTGGAGGCTTGATCTGCCTTGATGCTTGCCTGCTCTCAAGGCTGGTAAGGACTGGGAACCTTTCAGTGTGTCTACCAGTTCCCATGACTTTAGCTCATATGACATTAATAACACAAATTCTCTAGTTCAGCCTTTCACTATCTTTTTACCTCAGAGGAACATTTGAAATAATTTTCAGGTGTCAGGGAATCCATGCTAAAATGAAGTAATTGGTGGTAAGTGGGAAAAAGGCCCCTTACATTGGTGATCAAAGAAGAATGTCCCCCTTACAGTCGTAACCAGAATGTCACCTTTCCAGATAGCTAAAAACTTCAGTGGTGTCATGCTGCTGGCTCTGCCAAGTGGCATTTTACTTAAAACTATTTAGGTAGCACCAGATAGGAGGTCCATCACCACTTGGAACCCCTAGAAACCTCGTGAGGAACTATAGGTTCCACAAAGCCCTGGTTGAGAATGGCTGTTCTATTGCACCAAGAGGCCTAACACACAAAATAATTGCCTCAAAATTATTAGAGCAGTTGATATATAGCAGGTGCAGTGTGAATAGTTCTTTGTGTGGCCTTGATAATGTTGCAGGTTGTTAGCTCAGATTAAAACTTGAACTAAAATGATTACAAGAAACCAGCAGGAGTGTAACATCAAGTTGTCATGGTAAACCATACAAAGGAGCAGCATAGTAAAAGAGGGTGGTTAAGCTCCTAGTGTTGGTCCGCCAGAACATGTAAAGGTGCAACAGTAGGCAGTGCATAACGGAGTTGGACTGTGGTCCTTGGAGTGGACCTCTTCTTCCAAAGCTGGGTCTTTGATCTTCCTGAAATGTGTTTTTAGCATGTGCAGGTGGAGTGGCAACGTCCTTTTGACAAGGCCAATGAGCAAAATGTTTTGTAGGATCCTGTTCACCAGAGATAGTTCAAACTACAATCTTCTAAGCTAGTAAGCCATGTAGCAATTTGCAATGTTCAAGCTTGTTGTCTAAAGACCCTACCAGCAAGACTTTTGCCTAGACTGTTGTCTGTTTCAAGAAAAATCAGATGTTTGTGTACATTTTTACCTTCTTGTCCACCAACACTCGTTGGAAATAGGAAGTGTTCTAATTCTTCTTAACTCTGTCACACTTCTCGTACACTTCAACACAGCTGACTAACAGGCACATTGTCTATTTAAGTGTTTTAGAATATTTGGCGAGGAAGAGGATGAAGTGGTGGAATGGCACACCGCAAGGTCAGCGTGTCAGCAGGTGGGAGGAAATTTGGCCAGCATATCTGATGACATTGTACAAGGTAAAAAGGAAATACATTTAGATGCTGACTGCTTGTTCATATTTGCTTGATGGCTACAGAAAGGACAGTGTTTATACCATCACAAATTGACTTTTGACTCCAACATGTTTAACACTAACCAGGGGCGGACTGACAACTCATGGGGCCCCCGGGCAATAGGGGATCATGGGGCCCCTGTGTCCTTGCCCAAACTCAAAAAAGCCTATGAAAACAGTTCCAGGGGGCTTCTCATGACCCCGGACCCTCGGGCAGTGCCCGAGTTTCCAAATAATCAGTCCGCCTCTGACACTGACCATATTAGGTAATATTATTGAAAGTGTTTAACCTAGAAGACACTGTCGGAGATGTAAACCAAGTCAATACTATACACTGTCACTAGGGGCAGTGTCCAAAGGAATGCTCTCTACTACAACACTCTTTTTAAAACAGTTGTAATTTTTCTTGAAGGTTCCAGAAGAACCAGCCTGTTTTGGGGATCTGCATCCCCTTCATCATGGCTAAAAATAGGCATATTCAGTATTAATCATTAACATAAATATATAATGCTGTAAAAATGTATATAAAAATATTTAACCATACATATGGCAGCTTTCTTATAGGCATTCAATTATTACTTAGTGGTTTTAATATGTATTTATTTATTATATGGACTAAAGAATACATAAAACTATTGTTTTGTTTTTTTATTTTTTAATCAGATATTTATAAATTTTGCATATCAATATTTTGCAAAATAACTTCAAGCCAGCAGGTCAAGTTGTAGGTTCATTTTCTCATATTGTTCAAACCATACATGTTGTTTACAGAGTTGAATAGCTCAAGCTAAAATGTAGGCAGGTAAAGAAACAGGGGAGAAACTAACACCCCACCCACCCCATTTTGTTCTGATAGCTTCGTAAAAAAAGATTCAGCTAGAAACAAGTCCAAAAGCAAACAGCTTCTGTTTTAAGCTATGAATCCAAGAAAATTCCTTACATATGAAAATTCAGAGGAAGCAAGCATCTTCATTATTTTAAGTTCTTAAATTGACTGGCTTTTGTTCACATCAGAGCTGCTTTTCTCCCCTTACAAGTCAATGGGAATGCAATAAACAACTTGAAGCAGGTTGATGTAGCTTAAAAGAAGTTCATATGCACCTATGGAGGAATTCTTAATGATTTTAGGAGCATTTCAAATTGATCTCAAATTCATGAGGAATGCACCCTCTATTGACACAAATTCAAAGAATAACAGAGGCCCAAAGATATTTTTTTTTTCTATATTCATTAAACCACTCCTGCTTCAGCCCAGCTGATGTTGTTTTATAGCTCTAGAGGTCTTTACTTTACAATATAGCTATGAGAAGTGGCTGACCCCCTGCTTTGGCTCAGTCTATACAGCTTCCCAACATGGGTATAGCCTCCTTTCAGAATGTTCTTCTATCCTACTATTTTATTTGTGTTTTCCTCCAGCCTTCTTGACTTACAACTTGAAAAATGTGAAGACTGATGTCTGGATTGGGATGAACGATGTCAATTCAGAGCACAGATTTCTATGGACAGACCAGAGCGGCGTGCTATATACCAACTGGGCCAAAGGTCATCCATCTGGCAGCAATGTTTATGCCCACGATGATGATGTGAGTTGGAGTAGTTGGTGGACAAACCAGGCTTGTTTGGATTAACTTTGAAAATTTCTATAAAAGATATAGGAGCTGAATATTTAGTAAGTGCACCATACATTTTGAGTTGAGCTGGCAGGTTACACAGGAAGGTGCAAAGCTGAAATTTAAAATGGTTGTCACCTGCTTGGCTCCTGTGGTGAGGCAGAACTGAGTGGATGATAAAACTGGCAGAACAAAATTAAACATGTTTTTACAGGCAAAATAGCTAAAGTGTATTTGTTTCTGTTGTAAATTTAGATTTTTATCTAGATTTCTACTTTAAAGTCAATCTGTGTTTGCCCATTCAGAGAAAACCACAGGTTCACTTTAAAGAGAAGCAGCCACAATTGGGTGTCTATAGGGGTTGCATTATTTAGTCTTTATTGCAGAGTTCTTTCTGCAAGGTGCAATTATTCTCCTTTATATTGTGACTAATTTTGAAGATAAAGTGAAAGCTGACAGAATTGAGAGGTTTCCTGGCTCCTAAGTCTGCATAACAGTAAAAAAAGTGGTCCTGTAGTAAGGATAGAGTAGACAACTACAGTGTGCTGTCATCAGATATTGTCACGTGCAGTTTTGTAGCTGCAAAATAGCCAATTTTATCATCATGAGGTTGGGCAGTTCACAAGCCAACAACTGGCAGACGTCAGATGATCACTCACCTTTGGTTCAAGTGCAAATGTTGTCCTCACAGAAAATAAGTAAAGCTAATTAAAGGGATGCATATTAATACTGCAAAACTCTGGGCCCTGGACTGTGAGCCCTGGTTCACACTGATGCAACTTATCATGCAACTTGATGCGGCTTGTGATGCATAAATGTCTTATGACAAGTCAAAACATATTAATTTTAATGGGTGCCATCTTAATCAATGCGACTCAAGTCGCGCAGCAACCTAAAAAGTACTTCCTGCACTACTTTTCTGCATCTTTGGTGCAAATTCAGTGCCATAGACTGCAATGTTAAAATCACAAAAGTTTCAAGCATTGCCCTAATCTATATAATTTTGATGCAACAGTATCTGACTTCAGAGGGTTTTTAGCCAAAGCCAAAGTTGCATAACATCTAAGTTTCATGAAAGTTGCACTGAAGTCACATCAAAGTATAAGCAAGTTGCAATGCAAAGTCGCAGCAGTGTGAACTGAGCCTAAAACAAATTACTTGGAGCAGTTACAAGAAGCAATGAACTTACACTGTTACAATATTCTCTGATTATATACAGTAATCTTTGATTTGTTCTTCTGTTTCTGCTCATTATTAAAACAAAGAATCCGGCATAGCCTGACATTACATGTAACTTTAAAAGGGATTTATAAAGCAGATTTAACAGTTTTAGCTCCAAGTGCTTTTATTGAACACTGAGCATCAGAATATAATTTCATTGTAGACTGACTGTGTGGCTTTGAAAGCGGGTACAGTGATGGATGCTGGAACCTGGATAGAAGAGGACTGTGACCAGGATAAAGGATACATATGCCAAAAACCTAAAGGTAGGACTTATCTATGACAAAAAAAAGATGGGCTGCCCTATGCCCATGTGAATGATCCCTCGTCTCTGTAAGACTGTTACCTTTGTTAAAATTATTGGAACACTTAATTTATAGCTGTCAAGAGGATAATATGGCTGAGCTCACCTTCTGAAAATGGTAGCTGTGATGCTTAAAGTGGTTGTAAACCTCAGACATGAAATTACATAGTTAGTCTGGCTGAAAAAAGACAAAAGTCCATCCAGTTCAACCATAAAAAAAAGGTTATAATCCTATACCCGCAGTTGATCCAGAGGAAGGCAAAAAAACAGAAAAGCATGATCCAATTGGCTCCTGCAGGGGAAAAAATTGTTTCCTGATCCCCCAAGTGGCAATGGGATATTCCCTGGATCAACTTTACCTGTAATTGTTTAGTATTCAATTATATTCTGTGTATCTAGGAAAGAATCCAGGCCTTTTTAAAAGCAATCCACTGAGCTGGCCAGAACCAACTCTTGAGGGAGTCTATTCCACATTTTCACAGCTCTCACTGTGAAGAAACCTTTCTGTGGTTGAAGATTACATTTCTTTTCCTCCAGATGTAAAGAGTGCCCCCTTGTCCTCTGTGATTACATTGAGGTGAATAGCTCTACACCGAGTTCACTATATAAACCACTGATGTATTTATACATGGAGATCATATCGCCCCTTAATATCCTCTTCTCAAGAGAGAATAAATTCAGTTCCTCTAATCTTTCCTCATAGCTGAGCTCCTCCATGCCTCTTATCAGAAATATGACAAACAAGAGATTCCTGTGCTCAAATCCATACAGCTAGTGCATGCATTTATCCATCAGTTGCTAAAGGGGTGTAACCACATATTAACACTAGAAATTCTGAAGGACCCTCTGCACTCTGGTATATACCCTTCCAAGCAGACTATGCAATAAATAGGGATATTTAGCTCACACATATTGCAATACATGCTTAAGCTGGCCAACTGCGTCAAAGTAATCCCTCTATGGTCAGTCCTACTCTGCCTTGCCTACGCAAATGCTACTGTGGACACAACGCTAGCATAGGGGAAAAGACACAATGGGGAGAGCTACAATATCCCTATTTATTGCATAGTCTGCTTTCCAATAAAAGCCAGTCAACTAGCATCTTCAAAACAGGTCAACAATGAAAGCCCCTATATTTCTCTTCAGACAAATTTACTTTAAACTAGAATTATTGGAGACATTTTGCCAATAGAAACAGATTGAGAGCAGAATGCGCCTGTAGAGAAAACAAATCGATAATGAAAGAGTTTCCACACATACTGTATGTGTTCCCTGATGCCACTTTGGTAGAGTCTCTCTTAAAAGAGAAATATGTTTTTTTTCTTCTTTTGAAATCATACTTACCAAGGTGGATGCAGCAATGATCTGATGCTGCATCTGTCCCCCTCCACTTTTGAGAGTGAGAACTGAGTGATCAAATACTACTGATTGCTGAGTTCTCAGCCTTCACTAAGCAGAGAGCCAGTGACTGTGAGTCTCCGGCTCTCTGGTCGGCACCCCCATCATTCAATGGAGTGCCAGACTGTGGAGGGGGAGGAAGTGGCTGGCTCAGGCTCTCAGCCGCTCACTGAGAGTCTGAGCCATCTGCCAGTTCAGGTGTCTGGGTGGATCCCATCTTTAAAGTCAGGATCTTTGCCCAGCCTGAACCAGCTGAGTGAAGTCAGCCACAGCGTTCTGTAGACCACTGTCAGCTGAAAGCGGGTCACAAGAGAAGTAGAGCCAAACAAGCTTTAGATATACTTCTGCTTTAAGCTTTGTTACCCTCTTTTGAGAGGTCCAAATGATCAGAAAAGGTAGGCCCCTTTTTACTGTAGCACTACCCCTTTAGGAGTTGCTGAAGTTTGGGTCCCTCGATAGTCCTGCACAGCCAGGCAACATGCATTTCCCACATTCAGACTTTCATCCAAGAGACAGTAACCAGTCCTTAAGATTTTCAATAAATTAAGAAACAACTTCCTGCGCTCAGAATGGGGCCCTCTCCCTATAGCTGCTGACACTTGCCCTCCTACCAATGTGAGTCAAATCAATAAAAATATAAATAAATAGTGCAGCGCTACATACTAAACAAACATACATGTAAATAAATAAATATTCAAATCAATATATATCATAAACATGTGCAACAGTGCAAATAAAGTGCAATATGTGTATTCCACCAGGAAACATCAAAATAGCCACGTGACAAATATATAAAAAATAAATAAATATTCAAATCAATATATATCATATAAATGTGCAAAATTGCAAATAAAGTGTAACACGTGTATTGCACCGACAAATAAAAGTGACAAAGTGACAAATATTGCTCAATAAAGTGCAATCTGTGTATTCCCTATACGGGAATATTCAAAGTGACCAAGTGACCAAACAAACTATATATTTCTGTGCATTCTGGTGCTTTTTCCATGCATTCTTTTCCATGCGTTTCTGCGTTTATGCATGGAAAAAGCACCAGAATGCACAGAAAAGAGGAATGCATCAAAACGGAATCAGCGCATCGGAATGCCAAAATGATGGAGTCTTCTGTTTATGTATGAACCAGAGAGGAATATAGAGTATACAGCGGTTGAAAAGATCCTGAGATACAACAGAGTGGTGTTTGTCCCTTGAGGCAAGGTGTCCCTGTGAGATCTATATAAGGAGGAACCGGAGAAGGAGCTGGGTATAGAGCATACATCGCTGGGGAGGATCCTGTGATATACCAGAGTGGTGTTTGTGTCCTAAAGCATGTTGACCCTGTGGGGTCGATGTAAGGAGGTGAGGGGCCATTGCAGCTATTATTGGATATACACAGTGTGGACACTTGACAGCACTTGCATGAAGATTGTGTATGAGATACACTACTTATATATATATGGACATGTTTACACAGAGTGTTGGTTTTCAGAATATATGTGTTATATAGTTTGTTTGGTCACTTGGTCACTTTGAATATTCCCGTATAGGGAATACACAGATTGCACTTTATTGAGCAATATTTGTCACTTTGTCACTTTTATTTGTCGGTGCAATACACGTGTTACACTTTATTTGCAATTTTGCACATTTATATGATATATATTGATTTGAATATTTATTTATTTTTATATATTTGTCACGTGGCTATTTTGATGTTTCCTGGTGGAATACACGTATTACACTTTATTTGCACTGTTGCACATGTTTATGATATATATTGATTTGAATATTTATTTATTTACATGTATTTTTGTTTAGTATGTAGTCCTTAAGATTTGTTTTGAAATTTAATTAGGGGATTGAACTTGGATGGGGTAAGGGGGTATGAGATTCCCAAGGGTAATGGCAACCACCCCAGATTCTCCTAATCCAGCTGTTCTGGGTGACTCCTTGGTCAGGGGATCCAATGCCTGCCAATACAGTATGAAACAGTCCAGGGTAAGAAAGCTAATCCAGTTTCCCACTAGAGTGCCTCTTTTCCTTTACTGGTCCAGGGGGTGCAGGTCTACTCACTTAGTCCTTCTCCTATGCTGCTGGTGGGTCAGTGGCTGCTACTGGGTCTTCCACCTGTGCAGCAAGGAAGGAGCAGTACAGGTAGATCTCACTCTGGGGGCTGGTGAAGTCCTGAGCTTTCCTCCCTCCAAGTTGCTCTTCCTGTAGGTGAGCCACTCTCCATCTGGGCCCCCTCCCAGGCTCCTGCTCTCCAGCCTCTCACTTCCTTTCCATCTTCCACCTGCCTTCTCCTGCTGCTGAGAAGGCTTGGTCACTTTTAAGGGCTGTCCTGGCCCCTTGCCAAGCCTCCTGTTGGGGATTGGCCTGGATCCCTTGAGAGTGAAGACTAGCCACTTCTTACCTCCGCTCACTTCTTCTAGAACATTCTCCAAAGTTCTGGTTCAGGGGGAAGTCTCAGAGAGCTAGTCTGCAGAACCTCTCAGATCTGACCCAAATTTGACCCTGCTAGCTATCACATACAGGCTACTACTCAGCCCTCCTTACTGCAAATTAGACTCTAGCTCCCACTAGCTGAATAAGAGGGTGCTACCTTACCATAACCGACTGAAACCCCATGTGGCTCCTATGCATTGTTGTCTCTGCCTGCTCCCACTGGGTACATTTTGGCTGCATAGGCAGTAAGTGCTTTTTTGGGATCTTGAGCTGAAGCCACAGATAATCTTATGATTCTGTTTAGTAGTCTGAAAACCACCTTTTCAACCAGTTCTACCAGTCGGTTTAGCCTGCAGTCTAGACAAAGGGGAACAAATATTAGATTTAGAAATAAATCTATGATGTGACTTCTCCCTCCCTCCTTAAATTGCTACCTGGGTGCTGATCCATAAGTGGTTTATTTTCTGATTTCCTTTAATTTTATTGTTGTACTTCTCTTCCCTTTAGACCCCACACTGCATTTTGTGCCAACTGTGGCTGCAGCCCCTAGACAGCTTGAGTTTGGTGATGCCACCTACACGTTTCAGAAAACGAAGATGAAATGGGATGAGGCGCGGCGAATGTGTAAAAACTCTGACTCCGAACTTGTCAGCATTTTAGAAGAATACACAGCCTCCTTTCTAAGAGTGCAGCTAAATAAATTTAAGGAACCTTTTTGGATTGGACTTAACAGTAATAAGGTTGGTAAAAAAAGGTTGTATGTGTATATACAGAAAATGTTTAAAAACAGAAATGGGGAAGAAGCAAAATATTCTTATTGTGGAGCTTCATGTGGCACCACGTACGTTATCCGGAACAGAAAAAAATATTTTTGTGCCCTATGAGCCAATGAAAAGCCTCCTTTCATTTACTATTCTGCTGAAGAAAAAATTACAGATTTTTTTTGCTATAAACAACCCACTTTCACATTAGCCATTAATTTTATATGTAACTTTTAGGTTACATTTTGGTTTTGTTAGGTTAAAAAACAGTAATACGTATTCTTCATTTTTAATAGTGTACTTTTGTTTCCTTTCTCTTTTCCAATTTTTCTTTAATTTTACATTTTTGGGGGGGATTATAGAACAAGCGAGAGAGTTTTCGTTTTATTCTGAATCAGTTAGATTTAACTCCATCTTTTTTTGGGGGCGGGGGTCGGGTCATCTGACTGTTCATGAGCCGTTCTTTCTAATGCTAGAAAACCCAGACTCTCACCCAGTGGTGTCAGTGACATACACATGGTACTCCTGATATAGAGAAGAGATCAAATTATTAATCTTGAGCATAGTGGTCTTTCATTTAAAGCGGAAGCTGTAAAATCACTTTGAACCCCCTTCCATAGTATTTTTGGCAGTGGCCATCTTGAGTACGGGCAGATTATTCGTGTAGCAGAGTCCCCTCCCCTCTTAAAGACTCTTGGGATGTATGACATAATTTGCCTAGGCATGGAAACCAAGTAGTAATTGAAGAAATCTAAAAAAAAAAGTTTAAAACAAGTAAATGGGATATGCTTTCCTATCCATTTACTAATGCTAGCAGTATTAGGAGAAAAATAGTCAAAGTTAGTTAAGAGAGTGAAGTTCCACCTTAAGAAAAGCTCAATTCACTAAGCTACGTATAATGACAAGAAGAGCTGATAATACCCTTCAATATGACACATGCACTAAAACACAATACATTGAGCCTATAGAGCAGGCATCACTCAATGGCAGGACAGTTCTTCATGGAGGGTGGGAGCTGCCGAGGGTAACAAGCAGGTGATTGGTTGCTAGGATGAAGGGCAGTCCTAGCAATCAATCACTGTCTAAGTAAGGTAGGACAGTGGGGGGTGAAGTGAAGGGGGGCTGAGGACAGTAATGTGGGGGGTCCTAAGGACTGTGGTGTGAGGGTCTGAGGACAGTAATGTGGGGGCTGATGACAGTAACATGGAGGGGGTTGAGGACAGTAATGTGGGGGGGAGCTGAGGACAGTAATATGGGGTCTGAAGACAGTACCATGGGAGGGGGTCTGGGGACAGTAATGTGGGGGTATGATTTAAAAAGGGGCACAGTACTCTTCATGAAGGTGGCAGAGGACAGTACTGTTGGGGGGGATTGATGTCAAAGAAGTGTGATAACACTACTGTGAAAGGGGTGGAGGGGGTGATGTAAAGGGGGATCTGAGGACACTCTTCAAGAGGGATCTTGCTGTGAATGAGGAGGGGACTGTGATGTGCAGTGAAGATCTGTACATGTGCATTTGGTGCACACATTGTGGGTAGCTCAGCACTACCTGCTTGAAACCTGAAGAAGTCTCCGACCTTTTTTTTTCCAAAATCTCACGGCAGTTTTTTTTTTTTGGGGGGGGGGGGGGGGGTTTCCCTCAGAGAATGTCTTTTTTTAACATTCTGCCACAACTCTGTGCATTAGTACTGCTTGGACCTTGCTGAAGGAGGTATACTCTGAAAGCTCGTCCTGAAAAATTGTATGTTAGTGCAAATAAAAAAAAGTATCATTGACAGTACTCAATTGTTTCTCTATATTTATTTATTTTTTATATAGTGCTGTCAATTTATGCAGTGCTTTGCATATATATTGTACATTCACACCAGTCCCTAACCCTCAAGGGGCGTAAAATTTTATACATTTATACATACACATACTAGGGCCAATTTAGACAGGAGCCAATTCACCATGTCTTTGGAGTGTGGGAGGAAACTGGAGTACCTGGAGGAAGCCCACGCTGGCACAGGGAGAACATGCAAACTCCAGGCAGGTGGTGCAGTGGTTGGGATTTGAACCAATGACCCTGGTGTTGCCAGGTGGAAGTGCTAACCATTTAGCCACTGTGCTGCCCACATTGGCCTAAGCCTACAAGCATGAAGCCGTCTGCAGATCCAACCACCTGATAATGTGTAATGGACAGCTTTATATAGAATCCAGGTTCTGTCCCTGTCCCCCCTTCCTTTTTCCTTCTCCTTCTTTTCTCTCTCTCTTGTTATTTTGTGTACTTTGTATTTCTATACATCTTACTTCTTCTTCCTTGTTCTCTGTTTTGGGTTGTGCTCATGTTACTTACAGTACATGATGTCTGTTTGGCCGCCTACATATGCTCTCACCATTTCAAAGATTTGTTAGCTGCTGACATTTGCCTACTATTGTAGTGTTGCTTACACAAACCTTTAGTGAAATACAAATATATTATAAAAAAAATCTTTGCCTATCAAGCTGGATAGGTACAGTTGTGCAAAGTTTGCAACGGAATCCAGGATAACATTTTTAATCTCGAATTGTTTCAGACGGACAATCAGTACAAATGGATTGATGGCTGGAAACTCCGTTACACGAAATGGGCTTCAGGAGAACCAAAAAGAAAGAAAGCTTGTGTTTACATCGATACAGATGGCCAGTGGAAGACAGCGTCTTGTGATGAAAATTATGCTTCAGTGTGCAAGCAGACCAGTGGTAAGATTGTGGCAATTTTTTAAAATGGCTGTAAACCTCAGACATGAAATATGAACAAAGCATATCCTACTATAGTGTGTACTTGTCTCTATTAGGAACACTAAGGGGTTTATTTACTAAAGCTGGAGAGTCCAAAATCAGACTCCCTTCTGCATAGAAACCAATCAGCTTCTAACCTCAGCTTGTTCAATGAAGCTTTGGCAATGAAACCTGGAAGCTGATTGGTTTCTATGCAGAAGGGAGTCTGATTTTGGACTCTCCAGCTTTAGTAAATAAACCCCTAAGTGTCATTTCTGTCTGCTGCTTTGTTCCTCTGCTATCAGCATGAGTCGCTTCTGACCAGGGGTGGACTGACAACTCATGGGTCCCCTGGGCAATAGGAAATCCTGGGGCCCCTGTGTCCTCACCCACACTCAAACCACATACCCAAAAAAGGTACCAGGAAATCTCAAGGGGCCCCCTACTGACCCCGGGCCCTCGGGCAGTGCCCGAGTGCATAAATGGTCAGTCCGCCCCTGCTTCTGACACATTTTCTTGACATCAAGAGAAAATTGGTGACAGAGGAGGAACCTCTAGCAGATTTACACCCTCAACTCTGTTTCTGGGAGCGGCGTGGAGGGGAGTGTGGCCATTTCCTCTCAATCATCTCTCAGAGCTCGCCTCACTGAGCTCTGCAGAGTGTAATTTCAGCTCTCCGCCCACTTTTTTCTGCGCTCTCAGAGAAGTTTTATAAATTCAACACTTTGAACGGATGTAGAGAGAAGAAGACTGCAGATAGACAACTACAACTTATGTAGGATGATTTGTTTCATCTTTGTGTATCACCTGAGGCCAGTCACTTCATTGGGTATATGTATGGGTTTACAACTACTTTAAGAATATTACATTTTCACTTTTAATTAATACTTTATTTTTTTACTGTCTGTATTTCATTGTACCAGCTGTAGCCTGCCAAGCACTAGCCTGTAGATTCCCAGTCATTAGTGTGAGACCAGTCAATAAGAATGCAGTTTTGGAACTAGAAGTAAGCACTGTTGCTGTCTTTTAGTTCAAATGTACACTGGTCAAAAAAATTAAAGGAACACTTTTTAATCAGAGTATAGCATCAAGTCCGTTAAATGCCTGGGATATTGATCTGGTCAGTTGAGTAGCAGAGGGGGTTGTTAATCAATTTCAGCTGCTTTGGTGTTAATGAAATTAACAACAGGTGTACTAGATGAGCAACAATGAGACGACCCCCAAAACAGGAATGGTTTTACAGGTGGAGGCCACTGGCATTTTTTTTCCCTACTCATCTTCTCTGATTATTTTTCACTAGTTTTGCATTTGGCTAGGGACAGTGTCACTAATGGTAGCATGAGGTGATACTTAGACCCTACAGAGGTTGCACAGGCAGTCTAACCCCTCCAGGATAGCATATCAATACGTGCCATTGCCAGAAGGTTTGCTGTGTCTCCCGGCACAGTCTCACGAGCATGGAGGAGATTCCAGGAGACAGGCAGTTACTCTAGGAGAGCTGGATAGGGTCGTAGAAGGTCCTTAACACATCAGCAGGACCGATATTTGCTCTGTTGTGCAAGGAGGAACAGGATGAGCACTGCCAGAGCCCTACAAAATGACCTCCAGCAGGCCACTGGTGTGAATGTCCTGACAATCAGAAACAGACTTCATGAGGGTGACCTGAGGGCCCGACGTTCTCTAGTGGGCCCTGTGCTCACTGCCTGGCACCATAGAGCTCGATTTGGCATTTGCCATTGAACACCAGAATTGGCAGGTCCCCAACTGGCGCCATGTGCTTTTCACAGATGAGAGCAGGTTCACCCTGAGCTCATGTGACAGACGTGAGAGGGTCAGGCGAAGCCGCGGAGCACATTACACTGCCTGTAACATTGTTCAGCATGACCGTTTTGGTGGTGGGTCAGTGATGGTCTGGGGAGGCATATCCATGGAGGGATGCACAGACCTCTACAGGCTAGACAATGGCACCCTGACTGCCATTAGGTATCGGGAAAAAAAATCCTTGGACCCATTGTCAGACCCTACGCTGGTGCAGTGGGTCCTGGGTTCCTCCTGGTGCACGACAATGCCCGGCCTCGTGGCCAGAGTAGGCAGGCAGGTTCCTGGAGGATACAGAAATTGATACCATTGAATGGCCCCCACGCTCGCCTGGCCTAAATCCAATAGAACACCTCTGGGATATCATGTTTCGGTCCATCTGACGCCGCCAGGTTGCACCTCAGCCTATGCAGGAGCTCAGTGATACCCTGGTCCAGATCTGGGAGAAAATACCCCAGGACACCATCCATCGTCTCATTAGGACCATGCCCTGACGTTGTCAGGCATGCATACAGGCACGTGGGGGCCATACAAACTACTGAGTAGTATTATGAGTTGCTGTAATGAACTTTCAGCAAAATGGACTAGCCTGCTGCATCATTTGTTCACTTTGACTTTCGGAGTGTCTTTGAATTCAGTCCTCTGTAAGTTGATCAATTTCATTTCCATCAAGCGATGGGGCATCCTTACGCTCCTAACAGATTACCCAGTCCATATCAATATAGGTATCCAGCATGATATTTTTCCCCATTGAAATCTGAAGTGTTTTCAAAGTGTTCTGTTAATTTTTTGGAACACTGTAGATTCCTGTTGTCTCAGTACAGGGCATTGGGGAAACTGAATCTGCAGGCTGCCATTGATCCGAATGAAACTTGCCGTGCCCCTCTAAGCTGAGACAGAGATCTCTCCGCCGGTTGCAGTGAAAGGAGCTGTTGCTAGTTCACCACTCAGAGGGGTAAGAAACATTATTAAAGAGAAGAAAAGGCACCACTCACCAACCCAGTACAATAATATGTGGATGAATGTGGCCTCAGCCAGCGCCTCATAAGAAATGCCTGCCAACATCGGCGTGGGCATGGCTGGAGCAGCACTGGCTGAGGCCCAATTCATCCACATATTAATGCACTGGGTTGGTGAGCGGTGCCTTTTCTTCTCTTTGATAATGCAGAATGCGATTGCCAGGCATTTAGGTACACCTGCTATGGGAGAAATACAGGGGCTCCATTGCTGGCCTCCTGAGAACCATAGTGGCTTGACTGTGTCTGGTTTCAGTACACCATTGACTAGGGACAAGTACTGTATGCAGCAACTGGAAGTTAGAGCCGAGTTAGAGTTCTGAAAAGCACTTTATGCTTTATCATTATTATTAGTAATATTGTTTTTAGCACGTTTTCCATAAAACAATATTACTTTTATTTCTTTTCTAGCATGTGTTACATGACATTAAATTTTTTTGATTCTCATGACATTTCTGACTATTTTATTGCTTTCAGTTATGGCTCCTACTGAACCACCTCAAAAGCCTGGAAAATGCCCAGATTCTCAATCAAAAGCCTGGATACCCTTCCGCGGCCATTGCTATCTTGTAGAATCTTCATACACCAGAAACTGGGCTCAGGCATCTGTGGAATGTCTTCGGCAAGGTGAGCGTGATAACATGTGGCATAGCGGAACCGGGGGATTAACACAGAGTAAATGCTGCCCTTTACAGAGACAGTTCAAAAACTGAGAATTTGGATGTAAGCTGGCCCCAAGATCATAATAAGTTGTGTAGGACCATCACAATCTTCCCAGTTTCAGAGCACCACCTTTACTATAAAAGGTCCATTTGGTCTAACATAAAAATATTGAATTTTAAGCTGGCAAAGTCATCATAAGGCTACACGTGCACTGGAACTACCGTAGACATGAACTCTACTGCCAGCAGGAAAATGATAAACACAGCGTGTTTAGCGCTTTTGGCATTTATTCATGTCATTGGCCAGAGTACTTGCCCAAAACGCTAAATGTTTTTGGGGCTCTTGGCGTTTTTGGCCAAAACGTTTCTCTCCTGAATGCGATTCTTCTACGTTCAGGAGAGGGATGTTTAAATTCTGCTGCTGCTAAACCCTGATACAAGCCTGTGTGGACATGGACATGGTTTTAATGAGTGGAGTTATTATTATTATTATACAGGATTTATATAGCGCCAACAGTTTGCTCAGTGCTTTACACTAAAACGGGAGACAATACAGCAACAATACAGTTCAATACAAGGATAGGAGGGCTCTGCTACTTGGAGCTTACAATCTAAGACGGAGGGGCTAGTGGTACAAAAGGTAGTAAACTTGGGGGATGGACTGGTTGGAAGAGTTCAGGGGCTTTGGCAAAAAAGTGTCATAAGCAGTGTACATAAGGCCTAAAGAGTATTTATTATTCATTTTTTATTTCAGGTACTTATATAGCACCATCAATTTACGCAGCGCTTTACATATATATTGTACTTTCACATCAGTCCCTAACCCTCAAGGGGTGTACAATCTAAGGTCCCTAACTTACATTCCTAAATACACATACTAGGGCCAATTTAGACAGGGTCCAATTAACCTACCAGCATGTCTTGGAAATGTGGGAGGAAACCCATGCAGGCACAGGGAGAACATGCAAACTCCAGGCAGGTGGTGCCATGGTTGGGAATTGAACCAATGACCCTAGTACAGCCAGGTGGAAGTGCTAATCATTTAGCCACTGTGCTGCCCATTAGCTATAGTTTCTCTTGTAGTATGTACTGTATGTGCTATATTTTGCTACACACTCTCTGAACTCAGTGCAACCTACATAGCAACATGAGAGGGAGGTTGCACAGGGGCGTATCATATGGCAGGAGGCTGCTGTGCTGTCCGACCCAGAAGCAATGTGAGAAGACGTTAGTAGTAAAGTAGCTAATCCAGATGTCACTTCTCAATGATCTTAGCTACAAGCTCATACTTTTTACCTCGCTAGGCTAAACTATGTTAAATACCATATTAATAAATGTAAGATTTTCATTTTGATAATAAATTATGTTGATTTATATGGTCTACTCACTGGATAGAATGCATGGAGCTATAAAATGATGTTTTCTGTACAACACATGCCTCCAGTCCACTATTAGACAGCATGTGTATGGAAAATAAAAATGAAAGGAAGCTAAGAGACACTAAAGCCGAGATTATACATGTGACCAGTCATATACATATAGTTGTGATGCAAAACTAAGGCTCCGTTCACACCAATGCGTTTTTTTAGTGCTTTTTTCAGAAACGCACTGCAGTCCATTTACCATGGTTTCCTATGGAACAGGTTCACATCTATGCTTATTTGAGCTGCTGAGTTTTTGGAAAGGGTCAGGGACTTTTCTGACAGCAGAAACCAGCATTTTTGCTGCAATAGAGTTCAACAGAGAAGCTGCTGAAATGCATAGTAGTGCGTTTTTGCCACGGTTTTGCATTTTTATTCTGCCCACCAACAAAAAAAATTCCAAAAAAGAGCTGCACAAAATGCAAATGCTGCAAAAACATGTAAAAAATGCGTGTAGAAAAAAACAACCTACAAAAAGCACTGATAAAGCATCAAACGCAAAATGCATAGATGTGAACCAAGCCACAGTGAATACGAATAGCAGGAAAAAACATGCGGATTGAGCATAAAGGATCGGACTCCGATCCATTATCCTTTCCAATCCACAGATCTGATCCATCCTGCGGGGATCGTTGGCTTGCAACCTATTTGGGGTTAACTGATCTCTCCACAAGCTCCACGAAAAGGTATGTTTTTAAAGCAAGCCGATGATCCCCACAGGATGGATGGGATCTGCGGATTGGGGAGCATAATGGATCGGACTCCAATCCATTATGCTCAATCCGCAGATCCAATCCATCCTGCAGGGATCGTCTGAAGGGGTGTCACCAAGTGTTACCGCACCAGGTGACACCAACCCCAGGGACGCTCTGGATCGTTGGATGGAACCAAAGCACATAGTGAAGTCATAGGCATCTGACACTCCTGGAAGTGTTGAATGTCAGAGAATGACAGAAGCAGCAGCAATGGAAGAGAGTGGGGCTGGGAGATGCAGGGCACTGCAGAAGTAAGTATTAATTCTTTTCTCTTGCAGGGCACCTTATTTTAGAATTGTTTTTGTGTTCTGACAGTTTTGCTGTTACATACATATACTTCAGTGGTCAGTGGTGTGATTTACCATGTGATTGTTTTCAGGAGCCAATTTAGCGTCAGTTGAAGATCAGGTGGAAGCAGACTTTTTATTCCACAATATTGAGTTACTCAGTGATCGGACAAACACCTTCTGGATTGGTTTATACAGGAATGTAGAAGGTACAGTAGTTGCTGTTTTTGCTTATTAAATTATACATGTTTATTGCAATATGTCTATTATAAATACCCCTTATTAAAGTATTTTTCTCTTCTTAGTCCATTCTCCAGACTGGAATAAATGAATACATTTTATTATTTTACAGGTGAAAGTTAAAGTGACATTAAAGGCAATTAAATCATAAAAAGCATTAAATAATCATACTTATCTCCGATGCTCCTCTTCTTGCCCATATGGAAGAAAAATATATTTGAAATATATTGTAAAAAATATTTTTCCCAAATACATTGACATATATTTGAAATTCTACAATTTTGGCCATAGTCAATATATTTCAATATATATATATATATATTTATATATATATATAATACTGTATGTCTTTAAAAATATAAATCTACATTTTTGGAATGCATATACAGATATACAGTATATTTGAAATGTATTTTAAAAAATATTTTTCATATATTTTGTAATAAAAATGCATTTCAACATGCAGTATGTGTATATATATATATATATATATATATATATATATATATATATATATATATATATTTATTGAAGCATAAGACATAAGCACACTCCCTAGAACTACATCTCCACAGTGCCTTTTGCCTACACATGGTTTGTGGGATCTTGGGAGATAAGGAAAAAAATCTTTTTTGTATACTATTTTTCTGCGCTCTTTGTAATGGGAGAGTTGTCTGAGTCTTCTGTCTACATACTTTGAGCTAAATGCTGTCTCTTTCTCATTCTATAATCATAAATATCCTTCTTTGCCTATAGCAAAATGGCTGTGGTTGGACAACACTCCCATGGACTATGTAAATTGGAACACTGGGGAACCATCTGACCAATCAGACGAGGACTGTGTAGAGATGTATGCTACAAAAGGGACCTGGAACAACCTCTACTGCTCTTCCTACAAGGGATACATATGTAAAAGACCAAAAAGTAAGTAATTCCTTCCTGGTTTGTGTACATTCAAGCATGGCCCTTTAAAGGGGAGGACAATCAGAAAAATTAATCTGGAAAGACACTAGCCAAGACGAGTATAAATTCCCACAGACATTTCTAAATTTCCTAACATCCCTTGTTTTGGACCATTCCTCTCTGTCACCTGTTGTCAATAAACTGGTGAATTGGGAACACCTTTTTGCTTACCCCACTATTTTTTCTGTCCACAGTACATTCTACAGCATCCCCTTATATAGTTTTGTTGTATATTGCTCCAGGGTTTTAGATAGATATGTGTTTTCCTTTGTTTTGATTAATTTTTTTCGGATTAAAATATAATTTTCGGAGATTTGGATGTATGAGAATCTACAAATGGACATAGTGTAAAATGTCAGCAAATCCAAAAAAGAGTTTTAACAAGATAAAAAAAATGCATTTGCTTCATTTGCATGCATTAGTAGTTCAAGCCCATGAGGAAATTAATAAAATTTTTAAATTTGTTCAATAATTCAGATTTGGATAACAAATTGATCCAAATTTTGTTCCATTCATTAATTAATTAATGCACATGATGGCAGTAGATATTGTCCAATCAGCTCATGCTGTTTCTCTTGTGGGTTGGATTAGTGTCCACAAATATTGAATCCTTTCCGATTCTAATCTGTTGAATTCATGAACATATCAAATATCACAATCTTCCGCAAGATTTTTCGAATACACTCAGACCAAAGAATATATAAAACGAATTCCGAAGCTATGAAGAAACAAATTCTGAAACAAATTGGGTCAACATAACGAATATGACAAAATGAAATTCATGAATGTATGAATGTATACGAAATGAAACAAACATTTCTGGCATGCACATGTTTAGTCTTATAATTCCAGTGATGTCACTTGCCTCAAGATCTTTTAGTGCAGCTGCCGAAACATGAAATCTGCAGGGTGCTCCACATCAAACCCTGTTCCCTTAAGGTGCCTGCACAGCCAATGGGTTGGGGGGGGGGGGGGGGGGGGCAGAAGTGGGCAAAACTGGGTGGCATTTTATACCAAAAAAAAGGGACAAACCCTTTTGAGGTTGTTAAAAGTACTAATGCATATACCAACGCACCTTCACTATAAGTTGAGCGTTTGTCACCGTAACCAAAAGACATAAATATTGATGACAAATATAGGGCAAAGGTATGGCTCAGTTTTATAAAATATATGGTAATTTTTCTGACAATTTTATTGTTCACAAATAAGTAGAACAACAGCGTGGATGTAGGCATCAGCCATACATTCAACACAGTGAAAACCATGAATTGATAAAGTACAATAGACAAACAAAAATAAAAATAAAATACGTCTGGACGCATGTAGATTCACATATGGAAAGCTTACCGTGGCAAACCACCGCTTGCAGTAAAGAAAATAGCTTTTAAGGTAGCCTCCCTATGTGAACCTGGGATCCCTGTGGGTCCAATGGTCAAGAAGAAATAATAGCGAAAAATAAACAGAGGGCTCTCCGGCCTTGTGCATTACCTTTAAAAGTATGTTTATTAAATTTAAAAGAAGGTATTTTACTCACAAAAGTACATGAATATAAGCACATCATCTGAGGAAGAGGCTAGTCTCGAAACGCGTCAAAATTTTTTGGATGTTCATCATTCTTATCATTCAGAAACGCAGTTCGAATTGAACAGAGCGGTCTCATATGATTTGCTTATATTCATGTACTTTTGTGAGTAGAATACCTTCTTTTAAATTTAATAAACATACTTTTAAAGGTAATGCACAAGGCCGGTGCACCCTCTGTTTTCTTTTTCTCTATTAGTAGTTTTGGACTCCCCGGTTCTTTGAGGGCAGCAAGGCGTGCATATTCCAAGACATTCGTTGTGTGATCCCTATGACATAGAGTCCATCCCTAAGCACAGGAGTATTTGGGTTTTCCACTTTCACATCACTGGGTCAAGAAGAAATGCAAGTGCACTTAAATTGCCCTGGTGTGCAGAAGCCCAAAAGGGCATCTCCAAATGCGTGGCCAGGCCCTAGGTGGTCAATGCGGCAATATGTATGAGAAAAGTTATCCACTAAGTAATTATATCCCATAGGGATCATGGAAGTTGGTTCATCACACAGGTCCCCATGGAGTGTGGTGCAATATATACATACATTTTTCTTAAAAACATTTTCCATTTTGCATGGGAAGCTCAAGGGAATGTGTTTTACTTGATTCAATATCTTCAACTCTTATAAGCGGGGCAATGGATAAGGGGGTACTAACAGTCTTCCTGTACAGGACCCAGGCTAGCAGGGGGGCCCAGACAGCTGGGTGAATCAGGTGTGGGCAGGTAGATTGGCACAGTGGGAGGGGGGCAATTATTGGAATCGATCATGTGTATGGCTCTCTCTTCAGCAGCTGAAATCCAGCTTCCTCTCCTTCCCGCTGGCTTTCAGTTGCTGCATAGAGAGTCATACAGGAGACCGGTTCCAGTAACTGCCCTCCCCTCAGTGCACCCATCATCCTCCCTGTGCACCATTTATTTCCCCATGCTGCCCAAGCCCCCCTTTGTGCCCCACCCCCGCAGTGCTTCCGACTTCCTTCCTCTCCTTCCCACCGGCAGCTGCAAGCACACACAATAGGATCCTTCAGGATTGAGAGTGGGGGAAGAGTTCGGTAAATATGTTATATTTACCAGCCCCTTCATTTCCTGAATTAATACAATGAGTGATGGGTGGGGGGCTGTCAGGTTGTCTGCATGGGGTCCCGTGTTTCCTAACAGCAGCCCTGCTAATTTACACTGACCTCTAAAATATTTTTTTGCATTTTATATTTACAGTTCCAGTGCCTACTGAAAAGCCAGTAAAACCAGGTACAGTATAATCTGCACTCGAATCTACATTAATATTACTTGGAATCTGCTTGATGTTGCCCTTATTTTTACTTAAAGTAGAACTGCACTGCATCTGAGCACCACAAACCAAAAGTGCTATTTAATCCATTGTTAATATTCAAAGCAAACGCACCCATCCATGTCTACATGCTTTATTTTGTTGAGAATTAATTTTGAAAAGTATCCCTCTGTATTTCTGGCAGCGGCCATCTTAAGTAGGGGCAGATGGTTCATGTAACATTTTCTTCCTGGAATCCATCTGCCCATAGCTCAGGCATTGGCTGAGCTGAGAAAACTCTCTCCTCTTCTGAAGGCTCCTGGGATGTATGACATCATTTGCCTAGGCAGGAAACCAGGAAGTAACTAAAAAAATGTAAAAAAAAAAAAGTTTAAAACAAGAAAATGAGATACTTTCCTATTTATTTACTATTCTAGCAGCATAAGGATTAAAAATAGCCCATGTTGATGGAGAGAGTGAAGTGCCACTATAATATGGTGTTAATGTGTTAAACCTACTGTGCCAAAATAAATCTAAACATCCAAAACAAACCATCATAATTAGGAATGACCGTCACATTTTGGCTAGCCTGATTGCATTTCATAATCACAGATTTCACATTTTCTGAAATTTTTCCTCAACTGACCTACAATTTGGCCTTAGTCCTCATGCACACTGGTCGTTTCTACAGCGGCTGTTTTTGGATTTTGGCGTTTTTTTCTACATCCAGTAAACTCCCCTGCATGTTATCCTATTTCTCCATCCACACACTGTAATCAGCATTCTTTGGCTGGGGTGTTTTTCGGCTGAAAAAAAACCCCAGAACTAGTAGGTTTCTAGAGGAGTTTTGTAGCTGAAAAAATGCTCTAACGCTGAAAAACGTGGCAAAATGCAGTAAAACGCGTCAAAACAGAGTTTTTGGACTTTTTTCTAGTTACAAAAAATGCTAAAAAGCGCAAATGTGGAAAAACATGGCAAAAAAACACTGCTACATGGTAATGCAAAAATGCTAAAAACCGCTGAAAAACTTGTTTTTAACATGACTTCACACAGCTAATGCTACCATCGTTATTAAAATGCCCAGTGTGCATGGAGCCTCACAGCCCTGCTAGGAGAAACATTTTTTTTAAGTTTGTTTTTTTAAAGCAAGAAGCAAAGCTGTAAAACGTGGGCTCTTTTCTAAAAAATAAAATCCTCACACCCCTTTGCTGTGTTAACATAAAGTGGTTCATGACCAGTTGGTGAAGTAAGGATCTGGGGATCATGCGGTATATAGGCGCTTAGGAGTGTGAACGAAAGCCAAAAGTTAGTATAGGGAGCCTAAAGCCTGGTACACACATTTAGTTTTTTAATTTGTTCAACCCAGCAGGTCTCTGTACTAACTATGCAAAGTGCAACGATCTCTCCGGCTCCAGCCATTGGCACATTGCTGTACACATGGTTCAAATGTTGGCAAGTTCCTGCTGAACAGGCCAATAATTGGACAGTGTGTAGCCAGATTTAGCCTGGCCTTTTATAGAATATGGCTCTCCAGGAGCCCAGTTATCTGAAACCTCAGATGGCTGCTAGGGAGCAAAAACAAAGAAATAGGATGGCGTCTAAAGAGATGGAAGCTGCACTCCAAAATACTCAGGATTTGATTGGCAGCAGCAGGAGCTAATGACTTCCATTGCTGCCTCTGTCCTGTGAGAGAGGGGAGAGAACCGCTGCAGATGGGCACAGTGCTGGATCGAGTGAGGACTAAGTATTTAGCTGATGAGGGGGCGATACAAAAACTGGAAACTTTATTACCTTAAAGTGGAGTTCCACTCACGCTGTCAAAAAATAAAAGTCAGCAGCAACAAAAACTGTAGCGGCAGACTTTTAAAAAAACAGCCACTTACCTGTCCCTCTGTCCCGTGGTGTGTCCCCCACAGCCCGTTTCACCAGCCGTCCTGGATTCCTGGAGGCCGGCATCTTCAGTGTGGGCACCCGGCTGTGACAGCTTGCAGCTTTACAGCCGGGTACACGCTGCGCATGTGCGAGTAGCGCTGCGCTTCATGAATGGTCCTGTAGTCTTCTGGGACCTGTCACATGTCCCAAAAGACTACTGGGAGGGAGGACAACTTCCTCTTCCGATCGCCTAGGCGATCGGACTGGAAGTGGGAGTGGGTACCTGTCAAATTCGGGTACCTGCTCTCCCCCGCCCCCCAAAGGTGCAGTGGGGGAGCAGTCCTTAAAGCAGAACTTCCCCTTTTGGGTGGAGCTCCGCTTTAATGCTGGGAATGCATTAAGGTAAAAGAGTTTTCACTTTGGAACTACTTTAAGACCTAACAGAATTTTTACATTTTCTCCACTCTATTCAAAACAAAAAAAGAAAAATGTGGTTGTGTTAGGCATTAAGTGTTAGGCATAACTCTCCTCTTGTTGAAAAAATATCCCCTCTGGCCGGTCAATGTACGTTGCAAGGATTTTAACAAGCTTTGCGGGTGATCTCCACCTTTCTTCTATTTTGAAGAAAAAGCAGTTTATTTCACTATATTGTTTGCAGAACTTTTCCAGAATGGAAGGATTTGTGTTCAATATAACAACCTAGTCAAATCTCTGTGTTCTAATGAGGAAATGTGTAGTGTTGGCATCCCTTTAGAAGTATTGTTAACCTTCAGAGAGTATCTGAGCAAAATATGAATATGATATTTCTGTTGCAAAGAATTCTTAAAATTTAACTTGTATCTTAGTACAGATGTCTTAGTAAATGAGTGAGCCAGTCACACAAGCAGGAAATTACATTTTTGGAGGGCTTTTCGTAAACCAACGGTGTACAGAATGCTTCCAGGTTGCCATATTGCATTGCATTTTTTAATAGTTTTAATATTTAATAGTTTTAGAAAATGACACCGGTTTCAGATTTAAAAAGAAATGTAGTGTTTCTTGGGCCTGGGCCCTCAGGAGGTTTATGTCATAATGTGCTAGTATGCAACGTGTATTAGCACATTATGGCAGACTTACCTGGCAAAGCATGGCCTCCAATGATGCGCAATGAGCACTCTCTGCTGTCACAGGTGCTTTCATCTTCTCCTGGGCTTCCTTCTAGTTTTGGTCTGTTCGGTCACTGAATGGCCGAGCTGTGATGACATCATTCCCATACATGTTCACCGGAGTCATATCATCGCAACAAAGAGGGCGACATAAATGTACACTGAGCTGCCCGGCATTTATGACAGAAGAGACAATTAGCATCTCTTTGGTCATACAATTACGTCAGTGGTTTGTTTTTTTTTTGGAGTGCACTTCCACTGTAAGTTACAAAATGGCCCAGGTAGCAATTGTACTGTAAATGCTATTACATGTTTATGAAAGTGAAGGTTTTCTTTAACAATATATACATTACAAAATGTTTTTTTTTTTTTTTTTAAACAACATGGCATGGAAATAAGTAGAATGTCACTGTACTACTTTATAACACCATTCCCTTACTTTGCTTTTCCTTACAGAGGAGTCCAAGGGAGAACAACAGAAGTCATCACATGGTGTCACCGGGGGTGTGGTCATACTTGTCATAGTTGTCATTGCTGGAATCACTATTGCAGTCTATTACCTGTACAGAAAGAAGCAGACTAAGGTCCCTCCCCCAGAAGAAAGCTTTGACAACACCCTATACTTCAATGGCAACCGCGCTCCCCCAACAAGTGACACCAACATTCTTGTGGATAACATTGAACAAAACGAACGTGCAATTTCTTAGTGCTATGAATGTAAAAAGTAATTCTTAGGTGCTGTGGCAAAAAAATTCTGTTCCATCTACAGCTCCTTTGCTACAATTAAAATGTAACATTACCCTTTGGCTCCCTTCTAGCCTATGGATATGAAAAAAAAAACAATTGCACCAATGAAGTTTTAGTCTCACTTCCACTGCATTCTAACTGCAGTTAAAAGCCAACTCTAAAATGTATCTCACAAATTTAGTGGGTGCCAATGGCTGGAATTACTGGCTGCCTGTCGTAGGGTATATCCCATTGGTAGGATTTTCCTACGTTAAGTTGGGTCTTTTCTCCCATTTTATATGCTGAAAACAAAGCTTCACGATCAAAAGTTAATTCCCCAAATTTTTGATTACTTACAGTTTACTCTCAGGTGAACTGAATTGGGAATATGTTGAACTCATCAGAGGAGTTTATCATACCATTTTATTTGCCAGCCAACATTTAGTTCTGAAATATTACTTTTAGCAGAAGTTGGACCCTACATTAATTTAAATTCTATGCTTAGTTTCATCTTGAATGGAGTAGGAATTAGTTAAAACCCTTTGTTTTTGTTTTTTTAGTTTTTCTGGGTTTTTTTTGCTGTCCTAGTCTCACTAAGGAGATTTCATTTCACTTCTTATTCCGAAGATATAACAGGAAGTAAGAGAAAATCTTTACAAAGTGAAGGGAAACATCCCCTTTGGACAGATGTCTTATTTTGGTGACAACACTTAAAAATGTGCGTTGTCCATCACTTTCTGTTCTAGAGACAATGGTCACCAGGACAAAGAGAGAGTGAATCTCCCCAGAGGGGAAACAGACAGCAAAAAACAAAACTGTAAGAGGTTGGATTTTCCCCTGCGCTATCCAAAAATGTTTGGCATTTCAAACTTATAATTCATTATTGCCATCTGTTGTAACGTGCATCCTCAACCTTCATGTGTTCTGCCCTGGACCACCACAGTATGACTTCAGTAATACAAGTGGTAAAAATGAACTAAAGCAAGCATCCTGGCACATTGAAACACAGTTTTAGGCGTCACAGATTGAATATTATTAGAGTACATACAGTATGCTGAAGCGCAAGTAAAACATGTTTTTAAACACAAGATGGTATAGCTAGGCCCTTACACAAGGTTTTTATTATCTCTCTTGTTCCCTTTTGACCAAGCATGCATTTGTAGCATCGAGAGTCCCCATTAGGTTCTGTTTTTTTTCATCGTCCCAAATGAAATGTTACCACACAAAACGCTGTGCCTACATACAAGACCTATAGGAAACTGAAGGTAGATTGTCGAAAAAACTGCTTAGACAGCAGTCAAATCTTGGCTGGGTTGTCACTGGACAAAGCAGATACTGCAAAGGCCTATGCCAACATAATAGAAAAGGATAAGTAAACACTATTTACAATGATGATTATCACAGTGTCAAAAAGGTAGAATTGCAGTCTGTGTATCAGTTACATATACACAATAAAGCAGACATTTTGTGACAAGAACTAGCATAAAGCCATAAACGGTTCGAATCGTCTATGCCGAACTGGCCAAAATTCAAACCATGTAAGGTCAGGATGAAGTTACCCACGTTTTTCCATCAATTTGGATACAAGTAGCCTGGCAAATTTTACATGCTGTTATTGCTAGAGTCTAATACAACTGCTAGTAGCAATCACTGTGGATGGCTACCCCTGCTGGGAGAACATAATGGCTCCACAGGAGGGATTCCACCATCTGTACTGACTGTGTTGATGGAGGAATCGAGAGATTTTCTTTCCTGAAACCCATGGTTGCAGGAAAGAAAATGGGTCTGACTATGACTAGCTTCAAGCTAAACTTTTTAGTAATCAGTGACATCACTGCAACCTGAGTTCCTAGCTCCTAATGAAATGATAGGTCATAGTCTCTGACCAAGTCCACCATATGGCCCCCTCTGCTGTGTATGGATAAAAGATCAACTTAAGAGCAGCTGGGGTGTATCCACATTGTCTGATGAGATGCTGTTGCTTGCAAATAATGTTTTGTACATCAGAAAAAGTCCTTTTGCACATAAGAAATGTATCTTGTTTACAAGTAAATGATTAAAATGTTAATGGAAAGCAAAGGTGTAAGCGTGCTTATTCCATATTCAGAGTGGAGCAGGACTTCTCTGGTAAGGCTTGACTAAGGTGGTGCCCTCTAGAAGTAGCATTACATTTTCACCTCCTGGCAGTTGACTAGAATTCGCCTATTCCTTTTTCCACATGATGTTTGCCATCGCTGTCAATAGATTATATATCTTCTGCAAAAAGCCAGAAAATGTAGGCCAATGCTGCATTTTATATCTGGATAACTTGAGGTTCTAACCAACAGTGTACAGACTAAGAATTAGTATCATTAGCTAGTAGTGTCTGTGAAGGTTCTCACTTATCTAAGTCATAGTATAGCTCAACGTTTCTCTTTCATATGAGGGAACCAGGGGTGGACTGACAACTCATGGGGCCCCTGGGCAATAGGGGATCATGGGGCCCCTGTGTCCTTGCCCAAACTAAAAAAAAGCCTATGAAAAAGGTACCAGGGGCATCTCATGGGGCCCCCTACTGACCCCGGGCCCTCGGGCAGTGCCCGAGTTTCCAAATGGTCAGTCCACCCCTGGAGGGAACCCTTTGTGATGAACACGGTGTCTGACCCCTGTCCATCTCACCAACTGGTGACAAATGACCAGCCAATCTCATACCGCGCTTTCACTTGCGTACCAGTGCCACTCTCAGCTGAGCCCTGCACAAAGATTTTACAGCTCATGGGACCACAATCTATGTGCCAGCAGACTGAGATCAATTGTCACTGGAGTTTGAAGGGTTAATTGCGTAATTAATTAACCCAAACTGCCACCAGATAGTTTTGGGACTATCAACCCTTCACAATGTTAGCAAGAACAAATGTGAACAATAAACATCTGTAACACACACTGTCACCACAGACAAGTATATTCAGAGGATTATTATATACAGTAGCACTCCAAGAGACAGAGATTCTTTAGTTTGCATTAAAAGCCTTAGAGATAATTTTCTAAATAGGGTTTATTACTAAAAAGGTCAAAATAGTGTAATTAAAATATTTATAGAAAGGGATGTTACAAAGACATAAAGAGAACAATTATGCAAAAGAGAAATAAAAGGAAGGAGTTAAGAAGGCAGAATACTTGCAAAGTCCTTGGTTTTAGCAAAGTCCAATTGTCTGAGCAAATATGTTGCCTTGTCTCTCAAGTCCGTTAAGCTGTTTCTTGGTTGATGCTATATGAGAGCTCCCCCTTCACAAGTCCTGTCAGTCCCTTTCTATGATATCAAGGGGGTGTGGACAGAGACCAACTGACCAATAATATGGTTTAAGGGATGGCTGTTAGGAGGTCACCAAAAACTACAGTTTTACAGTAATATTAATTAAGTAAGATTAACCAATTCAATACCGGGCACTTTTACCCCCTTTCTGCCCAGGCCATTTTTCAGGTTTCAGCGCTCTCACACTTTGAATGACAATTGCGCGGTCATACATTTTACCCAAACTAAAATTGTATCATTTTCTTCACACAACTAGAGATTTCTTTTGGTGGTATTTAATCACCACTGGGGTTTTTATTTTTTGCTAAATTAACAAAAAAAGGCCAAAAAATTAAAAAAAAAAACACATTTTCTTTGTTTCTGTTATAAATGTTTGCAAATAAATAATTGTTGTTCATAAATTTAGGCCAAAATGTATTCTACACAGGGGCGGACTGTGAAAAGGTGCAATATTCTAGGCTCAAAGTGTCCCACTCTAATCAGCTAATTAAGCCATAACACCTGCAAAGGGTTCCTGAGCCTTTAAATGGTCTCTCAGTCTGGTTCAGTAGGAATCAAAAATAATGGGAAAGACTGCTGACCTGACATTCATGCAGAAAACCATCATTGACAGCCTCCATAAGGAGGGAAAGCCTCAAAAGGTAATTGCAAAAGAAATTGGATGTTCTCAAAGTGCTGTAGTATCAAAGCACATTAATAGAAAGTTATGAGGAAGGGAAAAGTGTGGAGAAAAAGGTGCACAAGCAGTAGGGATGACCGCAGTCTGCAGAAGATTGTCAGGAAATGGCCATTCAAAAGTGTTGGGGACTTTCACAAGGAGTGGACAGAGGCTGGAGTCAGTGCATCAAGAGCCACCGCACACAGACGGATCCTGGACATGGGCTTCAAATGTCGTATTCCTCTTGTCAAAGGCTCCTGAACAAAAAACAACTTCAGAAGCGTCTTACCTGGGCTAAAGAAAAACATACTTGGTCTGTTGCTCAGTGGTCCAAAGTCCTCTTTTTTGATGAGAGCAACTCTTGCATCTCATTTGGAATCCAAGGACCCAGAGTATGGAGGAAGAATGGAGAGGCACACACTGCAAGATGCTTGAAGTCCAGTAAGAAGTTTCCACAGTCTGTGTTGATTTGGGGAGCCATGTCATCTGCCGGTGTTGGTCCACTGTGCTTCATTAAGTCCAGGGTCAATGCAGCCGTCTACCAGGAGATTTTGGAGCACTTCATGCTTCCTTCCACAGACGAGCTTTATGGGGATGCTGACTTCATTTTCCAGCAGGACTTGGCACCTGCCCACACTGCCAAAAGCACCAAAACCTGGTTCAATGACTGTGGGATTACTGTGCTTGATTGGCCAGCAAACTCGCCTGACCTGAACCCCATAGAGAATCTATGGGGCATTGCCAAGAGAAAGATGAGAGACATGAGACTGAACAATGCAGAAGAGCTGAAGGCCGCTATTGAAGCATGCTGGTCTTCCATAACACCTCAGCAGTGCCACAGGCTGATAGCTTCCATGCCACACCGCATTGAGGCAGTAATTGCTGCAAAAGGGGCCCAAACCAAGTACTGAGTACATATGCATGCTTATACTTTTCAGAGGTCCGATATTGTTCTATGTACAATCCTTGTTTTATTGATTGCATGGAATATTCTAATTTTCTGAGATTGTGGATTTGGGGTTTTCATGAGC